GCTCTTCGCTAAAGAACTATTATATTTTTTAGATTTTGAGTGGAGCGGTTTCCAATGATATGTTTTTTTGGTTGAATACACTTTTTCTGAAAAAAATTTTCAACCGTCCATTTTCAGAGAGGTTTCTGGCAATGAATTTTGGATTTGTTCTGAAGGGGGTCAAAAGTAGAAATTTCACAACACTTAACTAGTCAGAAAAACAAAACAATTTTATGACATTTTTTTTTTGTAATATTATCATCACAATAATTGATTGGTAAGCCATATTCAGGTTATCCAAAAGTTATTTTAGTAATAAAATATACACTAAAAACTACAAATGTAAAAATTATACATTAGTAGTTTGTAAATTTGTCTTAAATTAAATAATATACCTATACCTATATGATTATCAATTAAAATGAAAAACAATAATTATGTAAGAACTTAGTATATGCAACACAATCATTACCCTACCTTATACTGAGCCTATGAATGGGAAAAAGATCACGGATTAGGACTTTTTTTGGCCCTACCAAATTTTCAAAGGCCACCAATGGGCCCCCCCCCTCCCAAGATAAAATTTCTGGCGCCACCACCGATACATTAGCTTTAGTACCCACCTAGTATTGTACCTATGAAATAATATTATTTTCAGAAAGTACCCTTATAAACCGGGGCATCAAGCTATATTCCATCTAGAAATTTCTCTGGGCTAAACCGGTGTGAAAAAAAAACTCACCGGGATGTTTGGACCATAATATGATATGGCTCATTATCTCGATGCGAGATGATGGTGGGATAATTTTAAATCGGTTTAACTTAGCGAATTTCTAGCATAAGTTTACGCTTACAAAATATCATAATAATAATTGCTCCGTTATTTAATAAAACACCCAGCGTATAATAGACGTTCGATTTTCATATAAATATTATTATGTATTATAAATTCTCAAATTATCTCTCTTTTATTGAAAATATTTATGTGCAATGTGCCTAAATCTTCATATTATGTAACTGACACCGTACAGCAAGTAATTATTATTTTGGTAATTAACGGTTTTCAGCTACGCGGTTCAAAATTTGCGAAATCTACCTCCTTAACCCAGAGGTATTCAAACTGTGCGTCGCGGCTCCCAGGGGCGTCGTGGGAGTTGTCGAAGGGAGCCGCGTAGTATAATTAAAAACCAATAAATATTTTTAAGAAAAATGTTTACTATTATCATTGAGGCACACCGGTTGGGAAACGTTGAATTGTCTACAACAATCATTCGCTAAATTTAGCTTTAATTTTTTTATTTATGTTATATGGTAAATAAATAATAAAAATAAATTTTAAAATATAAATTACATTCATATAAACATTGATTTTTTTGTCATTTATAATTTGGGAGCCGTCAATATTTTCTGAAGATTTAAAGGAGCCGTGTGATGAAAAAGTTTGAATACCTCTGGCTTAACCCATTAAACACGACCTAACAATGTTATTAAATCGTTACACGCATTATTGTTCACCACATCTCGTGGCTCGTGTCCTAAGCCAAAAAAATATATTTCGTAACAGTGGCTTAGGTACACATACAGCAATTACAATCAATAAAAAAATATATTAATTGTAATAACAACAAATATTGAAAAAACATTTTGAACGGCACTCTAACACTTCCGTATGTTGTATCACATATTATATTATTATATGAAATATCTGTGGTATGTACACAAACATGGCCAGCAATTACAAATATTCGCCCACATGACCATCATCACAATCACCTAGCAATTCGCTGTCTTCAAATAATAGTGTACCTACCAGATAAGCCTTAAGAAAACCAAATTTTTAAAAAATTTTTATCATGGAATAGAGCTACATACAATTACCTACTTTAATGTTAATACAATTTGTTTTATTTTTTTATGACATGTATGCTATAATCTTTTATTATTATTTATATGCATATAATTGTTATATTCTGATATTACGTTTTAATGGTCGTCAAAAAAATTATTTAATACATTGAATAATTTTTTTAATAATACTTCTGAAACAAAAAATCAGTTATACACAGAAAATTTTCAATATTAATATGTCCAATACTAACTTATTTTTGTCCTATCGGCTATCCGGCGGTAACTTTTCAGCTACAAACATAAAAAAATTCAAATTTTACAAAATAACCTCTTTAGAATAATAACGAATACATGTGGTTCCAACTTAACAATAATCTACACCACCAAATTATAAATTCAAGATCATATAATCACCAAGGTTCACTACTTAAATCAACAGGTTCAATCCATTTCAATTTACATATGCGTCCACCACCTAAAAGACGCCTTAAACGCGATCGGTCACACTATTTAATGGCCGTACCTGGGGAGGAGGGTTAGGTTAGGTTAACCCCCCCCCCCCCGAAATTAATTTCCAGTTACGGCCTTGCACTATCTTATTAGTTAAATATTGTATTATAAATCAATCTGTATTACTTTAAGTCTTAAATAAATTATTCGTACCTATACCAGGAGTGGCAAACCTTTTGAACACTACATACCCAAAAATTACCTTTTTATTGTTTTTTGCGAGCATGCCATGAAAAGTATTTTGTTATATTCGATATTGTAGAAACAATTTATCGTAATTTGATTGAATAAATAATGTATTAGTATAAAAAAGGTTAGTTTAGTACAAACAATTATAATAATATTACTTTGTTAACTATTTATTTTTAGTAAAAATATGATTATTTTTCGCGTGACACCTCGGGGGCTCGAGTACCATGGATTTGCCATCCCTGACCTATACTGTACGTTTTTATCCATAGCATATTAAGTTATGATCATTTTAAAATGTATTTTCAAAAAGGTCATTACTAACTTAAAAATAATATCAATAAAAGGCTAGGTGAGGCCCTAGATAATATTCTTACCTTTAAATTGTATAATTGGTCAATTCGCTCTATCAACACTAATAGCACGCTGTTAAATCTGGTGGACGATACTTTGCTATATCGTAGATACGTGTGTAAAACGGAGACAACACATGCGGGTACGACGTCCTCGTAAGAAGTAGCCTTCACACAACGCAAGATTCAGTGTACCTAGTTTATTTTATTTCCACTTGTTTTTCAGATCATAAAACCACCGCCTTTGTACAACACCTATGTAACTATTGACTATTTATAATATACGTATTATAGGTATGTAAATAGTTAAGTACACATCTTTGCCCATAACAATTTTCGAAATTTACAAACATTTTAACAACCGTACGCAAAAATATTTTAAGAAAACTTCAAAAACCAAAAACTGTAATAAACCTAATAATAGGTTGGCGAAATTATTCAATTTATAAGGATGCATCATTGTCCGGAAAACGGTATAAGCGTATGTTGTACTCGGCAGAAAATTTCAAACAGACTTGGGACTTATGAGAAAGGAACATGACACGACCGAATAATCGGCCATCCGAATGTTGAAGAATAATTAGAGTATTTTGATGTATACAAATTGAATTTTGACTGAGTTGTGAATTTAACACATTTTAAAGTTTAGATGAGCAATGTAAATCTAATTCTATGATACTCAAAAACTCCGTAAGTACATATAAGTTGTTAACTGTTTTCACTACTCATTAAATTCGATTATTATCCAAAGAAATACTCCAAAAAATATTCTTCAAATTATAAAATTAAAAATCTCTGTAAATGTAAAAACACAGAAAAAATATTATTTTATTTACTTAAAATTATGTAAAAAAATCATCAGGTATACCTAAATTATAATTAATAACTATTTATGCTTCGTTAATTAAATAACTCATCAGCTAGTTTGTGTAACATCTTATCATCAGGAAAATTTGGGATACAAAAGTACAAATTGAATAATAAAAATTCAATTGTTATAAATAATAAATTTATTAATATTCAACCCTGAACATTATATTATTATTATACAGTTTTCAAAATACATTAAATAATTTGCACTCAAAATAATCAAAGGACAGTGGTGGAAAAATAATGTATACAGAATTTAGATAATTAATTTACATATAGTATATATATGTAACACGTAATAGGGTAAAACAAAAAAAAAATTGAACTAAATCTGTTAAAAATTGATAACTTAGAAAATTAGTTTGAAATGTGGCTGTATTTAATTCAAACGTACATTAATAAATAATCGTAATACGTCAATGGTTTGAGATAAATAAATTATAACCTAAACAAAAAAAAATTGTTTTAAATAAAATTGGTTAAGTCAAGTTTATTTAACAGTATATTATATAATATATATTTGTTAGACATTAATTTTTTTCACCATATAAGAATCCGATTGTATAAAATAAAACCAAAAAATTTATGTTGAACCAACTGAAAAAAAATACTGATGTTCAAATTATTGTCTATAAATTAAGCGATTTAATGCATAACTGGTAACTGTAAATTAAGTAAACATTTATTTGGAAAATGAAATTTAAATAATAGTCCTGTTATTAAAATGTAGTTAATGTGTCAATATTTCATCATCTTTTATAGCTACAATTTATTTATTTATCAAACCATCATTTGGTTTGATAAATAAATTTGTTTAGTCATATTGTGCTACTATTTTTATATGCCAGATCCAAAAAGAAATAATAATTGTTGTAACAAAAACATAACATGAAGTAACATGGAAAATTGTGTTGTCAAACTTAAATAGGCTAAAAAGTTTGTAAAAAACAAATATAAAATTAATAGACAAGTCTGATTATAATAACCTCATAAAGGTAATTAATATTTTGATGTTAATTGTATTCACTATGAAAAAACCCTTTATATTTGGGCCTCTTCGATTTAACAAATACCGTGTCACTATATCTGTTGAAACAGATGAAATATAATTTTTAAATACAAATATTGACGGAATATTTTTCTATTCATTTAAAAAAAATCCAGAAAAATGTTAAAAACAAAGAGAAAAAATAACGCTAAAAGCATAACAAAATATGTTAACATTTTTTTAGACTTAACATTACATTATAATGATATAAAAACATTTTATTTAGTATAATAATCTGTTAAAAAAAACATAGCGGACACAAGAAAAAATGAGACCCAAATGGTTACAATCTATAATTTTATACAGCAATTTTTCTTCACAGCCTGGAAAATATAGAATTTTTTTCCACCTAATGTTACAAAAAAAATAAATATATATAAATAAATATATATGTATTTTTTTCTTGTTTTCTATTAAATAACACATTTTTTCTAAACATATTCTATTCTTAAAATATAATTATATTGTAATTTAATTACTCGGGAGAAATTCAGTTTAGTGGCAACCGGACACTATATATATTTTTTAAATGAAATCGCAAAAAATATTTAATTATTGGAAACAATAATTTTATAAATCAATTGAGAGTAATTAACGACGCCCACTTCCCCAACTTGGAAGATTGGTCTTGTCAGACCCAGCATTATTAGCAGACGTCGCGATACCCGCAAATGATGGAAAATCTCTGGTACTATTTGTATCTGGATGAGCTTTTTCCCACGGTGCATTACCCATAACAAATCCAGCACCTTGTGAGTTATGATTACCATTGGGAACGGATTGGCTCTCAGTTTTTGGTTTAAAGCTTGCTTTTGCTTCATTTTCTACCAAGTCATCCAACTATAAAACATAAATATATTACCATATTGTTCAGGAGTCATGTCCATACACAATATAAAAATATAAATTATAAAATAAAAAAAATTACATAGTCTTGTTGAATCATTTCTAAATAATCCATACAATCCAAAACATCATCCTGGGTAGCATCCTCACGGGCATATACAACTACCAAATCTGGATTAGAACTGTCAGATTTTGAAAATCTTATATCTACATGATATTTATCCATAATTTGTGAAATATTACGTCCTCGAAAACCGATCAATCTTGAATGAATTCTACTATCAATGTAAATCTCTTCCTTGTAAACATTTTTCTAAATAAAATATTTAAAATTGAATTAGTTTATAACAACGAAATTATATCACAATGAGTTTTAAATTCACAAAAAAATACAACTTACAAGTTTATCAACCATTTCTTGAATTTCGTCCCTCGCTGATTCAGCACTTTGTTGGTAACCCACAACTGTCACTATGTTTTCATTGTTTCCTTCACCTCTTCTAGGCAGATTAACTTGAACACCATATTTGTTACGTAAGTTACGGACAGTGTCTCCTTTTTTACCAATTATCATGGGATGGAATTCTGGTTCAATAGTCATCTAAAATCATAACATTAAAATCAGTATAATTGAAGCTATTTGTAGCTATTATCACTGAAAATTAGCTAAATGATTCGTTCAAACACTTTAAGGGTAAGTGACAAAAATCTATCAGCCACCAAAATTTAAATTAGACTAAAAATGATTCGTCAAATTAAAGAAAAATTAATAAATAAATGTTATGTTGAAGAGATCCCTTCATTCAGGATATTATACAATAAATTATTTTTTTTTAGTTGATTTTTTAAAAAACAAATACCTGACGTTAAATTTTAGATTCAATTCAAATAATACGATTGATTATTCAAAACGGCTTCATCAATTAAATTTGAATATTAATCTTATAAACTCCAGAAATAAACTTACATTTTATGTATCAAATGTCAACACTAAATATACGTCATACAGAAATGCTAACATTTTAATGTCTGCCGGTAATACTATCACAAATTTTGATTTGTCCACTCATCAATTTCTAGTTATTTAAATACTACTAACTAAATTTTAATTGTAAAACATTTTCAGTTAAATAGGCACATGTTACTATTATACTATATTTTACTTTATGACATCTTGTTATAATAAAAAAAATACATATAAATCCGAGCTCGAGTGATGGTTAATCATTTCTACTTTAATTGGATAAGAATATACTTGGAGGTGAACAACATTAAATGTCATCCAAACATAAAAATCTAGCAGTAAACAATACTGTCTCTGATGTCACACAATGTCTAACCTAACAGATAATGGCATATGTCAACATGTGATTACTGATCACAATAAATGGTTAACCTCATATCGGATAACTGTAAAATACAAACAATCCTTCATCATAACCTTTATATACTGAAAATACCTGAATTTCATATGAACGCAATTGTCTATCTTCTTTATCAGCATCATATAACCGCATTTCTTCTTTAATGGCTGCGACTACTTCATCAATATCTTTTTGCACACCAGTAATCTAAATTACAAAAGGTTCATTTGATAAAATAATTAATTTCTCTGTGAATTTATTGAAATAAAAATATATTCAAGTGTAATTAAGCTTTAAAACCACAACATTCTTAATTTTTAATTTTGATGATGTTTAGGAAACATATATTTTGCAAGCCAATATTATAAAACAATATTAGCCAATATTATAATAGTATTAATTAATGATTAATATACATTTACCAACGAGATTATTATATAAAAACATTATTTAATGAGCAATTACCTTAATAATATCAGCATTTTGTTCTTGGTTTGGAACTTTAATCTGGACATTATAATCATCGCTAAGCTTCCGGATTGTGGCACCTTTAGAACCAATCAATGATCTATGATATTCTGATGGTACATTTAACTAAAAAAAACATATTAAAAAATGTAAAATTGAATAGACTTAAAGATAGCAAATATTATTCATGGTACTTATACATTTTTCAATAATAATAACTTACATCAATAGTTTTTGGTATATTGTCAATTAATATTTGTTTAGCACTTTCACAATTTTCAGGTTTTCCAAAGATTGTAACTATGTCATTTACACTAGGAGCACGATTTTCATCAGTTTCTTCAACAACATTAACATCTTCTTGTTCGCGATTATACTGGTCTTCTATTAATCAAGACACTCATTAATAAAATATAAATTTAACAGTTATAAAATGTATTTGCATATAGTTTTATCAACATTTATTATGGAATATATATATTAAACCCAAGATAATTACCTGGGGGTCTTTCGGGAAACTTAATCCAAACATCTAAATCTCGTCTCATGCCTTCCAACAAATCTCGATTTCTCATTAAAACTCTATGCATCCTTTGAGGTATGATTACTTCAACGGTGATACGTTGTTCCTAAAAGTAAAACAAAAAATAAATATCTTATCTAATGAACAAAAACAAACAATAGTTAAACAATTTAATTACCAAGTCAATGACTATATTATTGATTTTATTTTTGACTTTTTCAACAAAATCTTTGTGACCTTTTATCAAAACTTCACTAGAATTGGAATTCACTTGTGGGAATGTTACTGTAACTCCATTATATTCTGCACTAATTTGATTAATAACTTCAGCACGACGAGCAACAAAATGTCGATGATGTTTGGGAGGAACACTCATAGTAATTTCAATAATATTTTCCTAAACATTAATTTAAACATAATATAACATTTTTTTATCAAACTTATTAATTTTTTCAAATGTAATAATCGTTTTAGTAATGCTTACCAAATCCTTAACAATTTCTTCAATTTTGCGTTTTGCTTCTTCAGCATTAGTTTTGTCACCCTTGATTATAACAACATCATCATTAGATGCTAATTTAGGGAATGTTATAGATACTCCATTACAATCATCAATGATTCTATTAATAATTTCACCACGCCTTGCAACAAAGTGACGATGATACTTAGGATCAACATTAACTTCAACTTGAATTGTATTTTCCTATATAATAAATATTATTTTTAAAAGGCAATATATAAAATTGTTTGTTAATATAAATAATATACATACCAAAACTTTAGCATGGTCTAAAAGTCTTTGCTTTGCAATAGCAACATTTGCTTTACTACCTTTAAGTACAACTTTATCGCCACCTCCAGGTTTGGGGAATGATATTTTTACACCACCACATTCTTCTTCCAATTTATGTAAAAATTCTCCACGTTTAGCCACAAAACTTTTATGATATTTTTCATTTATTTCTACACGGTCTTCAATAACATTACTGATATCAGTTATCATAACTTCGAATTCTGATTTTGCCTTGTCTACATTTTCTTTTTTACCAACAATAGTTATATTTTCATTAACCGAATCAGTTTCAGGTGGGAATATAATTCTTGTGTTTGTCAAATCTCGAATCTGTGGCCAAATACACAACAATAAAGATCAACAAATATTTAAGAATAAGATTATTTTTATGACATACTCTTTTAACATTAGCTCGTTTTTTTCCAATCAAATATTTATGAAATTCTGGCTTCACTTTTAGATCAATAACTGAATTGTGAACTTCGTCTACCATCGTCTGAATTTGTGTAATAGCACTGTCTACATCATCTTCAGGTCCTTTGATAATTATAGTCTATAAATTTAATTTAATATATTTTTTAGGTATTGTATTTATTATTATTTTGAATGATACACAATATTAACAACTACTCAAGCTTTCTTTATTCCAAATATGAATGGTAGTCAATGGCCGACTTACATATAGGGAGGTGTGACTTTGTTCTCAAGTATGAGACATTGGACTGGCCTCACGTGTCAACTCGCTGGGGGAAGCATCTGACTACCATCCTTATTTTGAATAGAGTATATAAGAAATATATATCTTATTGATCTAATTATATTTAAAGGAGTACATTAAATAACACATATAATACTTACATTATCACCTTTAACAGCTGGCAACTTTAATGACACATTACCACCACAATCTTCTTTGATTGATTGAATAAACTTATTGCCGAGATTCACAATAACATTGCGTACTTTAACATTTCCTAACACTATTTCTTTTGTGACAATATCTCCCTAATAAAATTGAAATTATTTAATTACACTTTAATCGAAATACAATTATTTAAAAACTTTACTAACCATTTCATTTTGTATTTTCTTTATCATATCACAAGCAATTAAAACCTTTTCTTTATTACCCATGACTTTGATAGTGTCACTATCTTCACCTTCGCGAGGTAAATCAATTCTAGTATCAGTTTCTTCTCTAATCTAAAAAAAAAAATTGTAATACATTAAATACATGAAGTTAAATTGAATAAAAATAATTTAACAAAACCTTTTTAATATTAGCTCCTCCTTTTCCAACAACAAGCTTGTGGAATTGTTTAAAAACAGGAATTTCTAATACGTAGTTGGCTTCATCTAATTCTTTGGCCAATTTAGCTAAAGACTTAAATGCTTTATTGACATCATCATTTAAACCACGTATTTTGACTAAATTACTTCTAGCTTCAACTAAAAAAAAAAATTACCACAATAAAAATGTAATTAAATAAAAGTAAAGATATTCTACCTGAACTAGGAAATGTAATTTGAACGTTGAAAGCTTCCTGAAGTTCTCTAACTTTTTCACCTTTGACTCCAATTATAGCACGGTGGTGACGTTGGTCAATTGATATTTCTTTTTCAACTTCATTCTCCAACTTATAAATCATTTCTTCCAATTCCTATTAAAACATATTTAATTACAAATTATAATATATAAGCCATAACAAGCAACTTTAAAAAAATAGCAAGACAAATTAATTAATAACATGCTTCAATGTATCTTACACTTTTAGCTAATTCTACTCCATCTTTTCGTCCTTCGATCCGAATAATGTTAGAGTTATTGTCAGACTCAGAAATATTGATTATAACACCAGTATCATTCTTAACACGATTAACTGAATAAAGAAATATTTGATTTATCAACAATTTATTTATTGTAAGTCATATACTATATACATATACAGGATGATCCAACTAGTATGCTCACCCCTTTTTTTTTCTTTAATTATGAAGTTTTTCAAAATCTGATTTTTGGAATCTTTAAATATACTCAAAGACCATATTTTCATATTCTCAAGATTTTTTGTACCACCTAAGGAGTGTCCTGTGATGATACAAACTTTTTTTTTCAAATGGGAACCCCACTTTTTTACAGTAAATTATTAAGCGGATAATTTTTTTGAGAATTTTGATGTTTTGGGATCAAAATTTGAAAGAGTAGTTTTCCAGTTATTACACATTTTGTGCTAAGGATAATATAGTTAATAATAGGGAAGAAGGATATGCTTATACAGTATACATTGTTATCCTTAGTCTATACACAATACACATAATATAAAATAATAAGTCATTTTATATTTATTTAGTCAAACACTTAGGTAAATAGCAAGTAAAACCCTTCTTGATTAATTTAGTTATTTTTCTTATTCCATGTGCAGAACAGTATAAGCATATCCCTATTATGGACTATTATCCTTAGCACAAATTGTCTAATAACTACGAGACCACTCGTTCAAAAATTTTCAAAAAAATTATCAGCTAAATAATTTAAAGAAAAAAAGTGGGGTTCTCATTCGAAAAATAAAGGTTCGTATCGCCACAGAACACTTCTTAAGTGGCACAAAAATTTCAAGAATATGAAAATATGGCCTTTGAGTATATTTAAAGACTCCAAAAATCAGATTTTGAAAAACTGCATTATTGAAGAAAAAAAGGAGGGCGAGCATACTTTGTTGGATCACCCGTATACATGAAATTCAGTTTTATAAAAAAAACTTTTCGTCACAGCTTAAAATTACAAATAAATATTAACTTACTATTGCTTCCATTCTTCCCAATGATATGCTTGAAAAACTTTGGGTCAACTACAAGTTCTGTAGAAACATAGCACTCAATAGCTTTTTTTAATGAATCAATTACCTTAGGAATCATATTTGTTGGTCCTTCCACAATTATCTTGTTATCATCAGAAAATTCAACGTGTACCTTTGAACATATAATTATATTTTAAATATAATAATTTTAACTAATAAATAATACTAAGTCATTATTATTATGGAAATAAAATGAACATAATAATATAATAATTCAATTAACCTTTTCATTATCTTCTATCAACTCTCGTAAATTAGAACCATTTTTTCCTATCAAAAATCTGTGCATCCATCCTGGACACTCGATAGTTTCAGCAGTCATACTGTTAGCTTTTTCGTACAACTTTGTTAATCCTAAAATAAAAATAATAATTATATTTTAAATACACCAAACATATTAAAAATCAAATTTACCAGTGCCTAAATCCTTATATAATCCTCTTAAAGTAACTGTTTCTTTGTCTGAATCTTGTTGAGGCATTTCCACACTAACATTAGTTTCCAATAATATATCTTGAATACCATTTCCTTTTTGTGCCATTAAGTATTTATGTTTCTGTTTTGGTATTTCAACAAACACTGTTGCTGATTCTTTTTCCTACAATGAAAATTATGATATTATTTAAAATTGATTATATTTTTGTTTTTGCAAAGATTAAAAGTGTCTAAATAAAAGTTAACAATAATTAAGTGTTAAGACCCAGGCTCGAGACTTTTAGTAATTTGTTTGTTTTTATAATTTTACATTAAGCTTAGCTAAGTGCTATGAATGTCAATTACAACACATTCAATTATGAAATTTAAAAGTGCTTTTTTTTTGCTTTTTTCAAATATTAAAAAAAATTTTTATTTCCAATTTCTGATTATTTTTATTTTTATGCATATTGCTGCTGAATTATGATTTATAATGACACATGCCACTAACAAAAATCTAAAAATTGTAGTAGATCTATGGTTTTTGTTTAGGGTGAAGCTAGAACTAAAAATAATTTTTCTCCTTGAATCACATTTCCTAGTAATAAACACCAGAATCCATATTTGCTAGCTTATCTAGCTAATCGGCCAAATTAATCAATTTTTTTTTCGGTTATTAGTCATATTTTCAGAAAATTTATACTAATAAAAAGGTTGAAATATTTTCAAAAACTCAAAAAGGCTATTTCTAATTTTTTTTTATGTTTCTTAGTATAAAAATGAAGCAAAAATTATGTAAAATATGTGCTTTTTATGCTTATTTTAATATTTTAAAATAGTTATAATGATATATTCGAGTGCTTTCCTCAGCATTAATTATGATGGTTATAAATGCTAAAAGTCCCAAACCCAGTTATGACAGGCAGTAAAGAATTCGTGAATTTTGGTTGAAATATGAAGGATTGTGTTCTATTTAGTCTTGACTAATATATCATGAAAAACTTGAATATCTTGTGAATTTTTGATAAAATTATTATTACTTACCATTTTTGTATAAACCTGTTTTATCTTTTCAATAGCTGATTGAACTCCTTCTTTATCTCCAGCAATTGTAATTTCATCTCTATTGACAGATGGCGGGGGAACATGGATTTTAACACCAGTTTCTTTCATTAAGCTATTGAGTTTTTCGTTGTGACCACCAGTAATAAAGGGATGGAAAATTTTTGGGATTTCAATCCTTTCAAACGCTTTTTTAGACTGTTAAAAATTATATTTCATTAGTAAAATAAATAATACCTAATTAATTAGTAAATATTTATTAACGCAATAAGAATAACTTACCAACTCATCTGAAATCATGCGAATTTCCTGAACAGCTTTCTCCACTGCATCTCTAGTTCCAGTAACATTGATAATATCTGAAGTATCTTGAATGCTTGGCATTTGAATACGTGCACCAGTGCGTTGTTCAATTTCCTTACGACGAGTTCCTTGTTTTCCCATAACTTGACAATGATGTTCCTTTGGAACAGGAACTGCACTAGTAGCCTAAAATATTATGATAATGAACTAACATTCAACTATGATATAAATTAGTTCCAAGACAGAATATAACTAAAACATTTGGCAGTAATTTAATATAATTGTGTTTTTTAATACTTAGTTGCCCATGCTAGTATTTATCTTTGGCACATTTAATGAGGAGGAATAGGTAGTCATAAATGGTATGATCTATCATCAATAAACTCGACAAGATTATTAAATAACTGTTCAATATAATTAGTTGAAGTAAATGGAAGAGCTATTTATAAATATCACACATTCTCATATGCACTTCATTACTCAATTGAAATATAGTTCTTTAAGAGAAGCGGCATGTTTTATCCATCTTACTAATAATCAAATAACAAATTTATGTACAGCAGTTCCAATTTTTTGATGTAAGCTTTCATTGACCTATTATCAAACTTAGAGGTAAAAACATTATTCACGTTCTTTCATTGGTTTTTAGTCAATATTTTTATTTTTAAATATTCATATTTTATTTAGTCATAAATAGAGCTTGGAAGTTATAGGAGTTGCACATACAATAACATAAATAGTTTCAGATACAATGGAGAGTTTAAAAACATAATTTTAGGGAAAAAATGTACATTCCTTAATTTTCATAAGCAAGTTAATTAATATTTTCTAAAAAACTTAATCTTTTTCTTTCTGTGCTGTGTATTTTAGTAATAATATTGAATATAAAACTCAATATTTATTAATGTGGGTATTTTTTGTTATCGTAGTTGTCAATTATTAATAAAATGACAATGGTACAATGTGCATTTTATCTCCATCACACTAATATTGAGATTCACTATCTTCACGAATATATTTTTTAAACAATTTTTTCAGTTCAATAAAATATTAAAATGCAAATAATAGTTAAAAATAATAGTTTTTTATCATATTAAAATGTAATAAATTTATTTTTCCATATTTTACCTTCCTATAAGTGCAAATTAAAAACAACATAAAACAGTTTTATGGAATTGTATTCATTTATTTTGCATATTTGGCATTTTCCCTTTTTTAGCTCATATAAATATCGAGCCTAACTTACAACTTACTTAAATATTAAATTATCATAAAAACTAACAACACACAGACAATATTCTTACTTTATCTTCAAAAATAGATCAATTTGCTTTAATATTGAAGTTATAGCCACAAAATTGAAACAGCAGGATTTAAATATTTATATGCTATGCTTTAGTAATTTGGAGAACACACATGCAGCTACTCCTCTCAGATAAAGCCATAATAAACAAATAGACTTTCTCAATCAAGTGAAAATAGCAGCTATTCTTTCAACAATAGGAAAAAGATTACTAAACACATTCATAGCTACTAATTTGAAATCAGACATGATAAACAACTTGATTATTAAAGGTTTTAAATGTACAATTAGAATAAAATATAACTGTACTTCTAGCAAGGTATTTCAAACTTTCTTCTGTTCAAAATATTAGTGCTTAGTTTAAGCCCAAGACCAGCCAAAAGGAGGATGGGGGGCAATGGAGCCATACCCACCCCACACTTTACATGATATAAGTAATAGAAACTCTTAATTATTTAAATCACAGATTCGGAATCAGTGATAGGGATGAGATAATTTTTTTAGTCTCACATCGAGAAATATTTCTATAATTGGTTTTTGGAGTCATCATTACCCGCAACCAAAGTCAAAAATGGATTATTTCATGATGTTGTATTCTTTGGAAAAGTATTAACTGTTTATAAATTGAATCTGGAATTTCTGAGACTTCCTCTGTTTTGATGACAATATATCATTAATTTTGTTAAGGTTAAACTTTTAAATTTTGCATTAGTCAAACTACTTCTTCAATTGTTTGTTATGAATGTTAACTTATTTGCAAAATTTACATTTATTTTTTAGGTACAATATAACGATATAATGATAATTACATTGTGAATTAATATGCTTATTTGTGCCATCCTTTAGTACAATAAGCGTGTGCACATGTTACTATTGGTAGAAGGAATAATTACTTAATTACTTATCATGTCTATTTTTATGTCTCCAAAATATTAAATTTTTTATTTCTGTTTTCAGAATGTTTTGAGTTTATAAGACCCTCTAAACTAAGTAATAGTATTCTTAAATTAATAAATGATTCTCAAGCCATTTTGAAATAAAACACACTAATCAATAATGACTTTTTTTTTTTAAGTGGCACTACCACATGGGAAATGAACTGTTTGCACATTGCTTGGCCCCAAAAATGAATAATAGCTGCATTGGTGAGTTATAAATTAGGACTTTTTTATATTAACTAGGTTATGAGACTTGGGAAACCAATCTAAATATTTTTCTAATTTTCTAATTATTTAATTAGACTTTTTGATGTGACATTTTTTTATTGGGGTATGCATATTTTAAGGTCTTATTTGCAGTTATTTGGTCCTGAAACTTATAAATTAAAAAAAAAAATTTTAAGTAAATTCTTTTACATTTTACTTATGTTAGCAAAAAAATAATTATTATTGGGAGGTAAGATTATATTTATAAAAAAAAACTTTACTTGAGTTTGAAAGCTTGCAATAATTCTGCGTTTAGCTTCAGTGACATGATCCTCTTTACCTCTTACAAGAAAAGTCAAATTCATATTCTTTGATGTAGAAATTTCAATCTCAGCCCCAGTTTCTCTTGTAATTTGACTACAAATACGTTTAGATTCACCTTCTCCAAATTTTTCACTATTATCTGATTTACGGTCTTGAACAGAAATAGTGAACACCTAAAATAATTTATGAAATTAATTTTCCATAAGAAGTTCTGCCATTAATTCACCTAGTAAGTGTCTTACTAAGTGTATTCACCTACTAAGTGCCTTCTAATTATTTACAATTAAAAAAAAAAATTACATTATTGACAGTTGAAGTCCGAACTTTGTTCCATCCTTTAGGTGGTACATTTGAAGATGCGCATTGACCATTGACCCCAATAGTCTTGGGTACCAATGTTTTTGAGTCAGGTAAAGCTGGAAACACAAGGTCATAGCTGTTACCATTGTTGCCTCCATCTTCTTGACCAGTGTTGTTAGACACTGCACGTTCACTCTTCAACTTAGGGATATCCTGCTGTTGCAACTCCAACATGATGGCTGTAGCTTCCTTACCAAACGTTTAGTCCAAATAAAACGAGTACCAAAGGTCTCTCCTTATTGAAACACTAAAATTTAATTAAAATAATATAGTACCTATTATGTATTATAAAGTATAAAAAAATAGCGAATTATGTAATAACATATATTATATAGCTAAAATAATTAATTTAAAAAATATTAATAGTAGACATGTTAAGTTGTTTTACATTACAATTAATAAAACAATAAATTATATTTTCTAATAAAAACGAGATAATACTTGAACAACATTTTGGTTGACCAAATTATTGAACAGATTGGGTTAGCCTACAGCCCATACATAACAATTTTGAAGAAAATGTATTTACATTAGGTACATAAAATTCAAATAAATATGGATTAGGGTGGTTCAACTTTTTGTAGTTTGCAGGCCAATTAACAAATTTATAAGCCTACAGGGGTTGGGTCAAGTTAGGGAGGCCAAAAGAAAAAAAATGTATTTTATTTAATAAAAAACATATTATAATATAATAAACAAGGTGCCACATTATAGAATACATATAGATTAGTACTATCGCCATTCATCACTCTTATATGCATTACAATTATTAAATATATGTACTACATATGTCTTTTAAGGCAGGCCAAAAAAAGGTTTTGATTAAATAATAATTCAGTTAGTTGGGCATAAACAAAAGAAGTAACAAAAGTGTAGGTAATTAGGTAATAGTTATTAATACTAAGTGACACAACTACTGTAGTCTAAGACTCCAAGATTAGGTTGTCATACCTAATATTAATTTAGAAAAACGTATTTTTTATAGCCATGGAAATTCAATTGAAATACCCAAAAGGATTAATACAATAATGTATTATATATTAAGGCAAATCGATAATTTTTTTAGTAAAAGGAAAAATGATTTCAAGTGATTTATACACAGATTTTTAGGTTAAAATTGTGAAAAGTTTGCTGTACCTACTCTGCAAAAAGTAATTTATTGTAATTTACCTAACCAGAATAATTGAGCATATATAAGTAAATGTTTACAAAAAATAATAATGAAGTTTTAATATTGTTGGAGTATTAATGAAATATTATTTAACAATATTTTCAGTATCAAAGATTGTATCACAATAATACTTTGATGAACAAATACATGGTAATATAGTTTAGTATGCAGGATCAATTAAATGGGGTACAAAAGTAAATTTACAATCTAGGAATAGGATGATACATGAACTTATTAAGATATTTTACTTGAAACAAAATATTAATTAATTACAAAAATATACTGCATAGTGTATACTAAGTATCTAAAAAAAGGTTAGCAAACTATTAATTCAAAAATATTAAAATTTCAACAAATGTTCATAATTTTTGTTTTAGTAGGTACCTTGCACCTATTATGTTAAAACACCTACTGGGAGTTTTCAATTTTGACCTCTCAATGGTAGCAACTAGATACAATTTGCTACCAAAAATCTACCCTAATGTTAATGATCAGAGGATATTTTTTACTAGAAATGTGATTTTAGTAATTGGGTAAGTCTTAGTAGTTTTGTTTAACATTCAGTTTTGGGTATTCGCTATGACAACCAAGTTAAATGTTAGCCGAAGATTAACCTCAGTTTTTGGATCAGGGATAATGTTGTTGTTAAATGTAACCAATAGGCTTAGATGTTAACTCAGGTCTTCAAATCAGAATTTACTTTTAGTTAAAAAATCCAATTAAAAAAAAAATAACCAAAAGGTGATATAATCGGTATAACAATAAATAATTTAAAAAATCAAGCCATATGAAAATTAAGGTGTTCAGAGGTATCGATGAGCGAGCAAAAGCGTAAAGAAACCCACCAGATGTATATTGGACATAAATGTACAAATGCATCCAGTTCGACAATAGCCTTTGCCCCGGGTAGATCTACCCAAAAGGACTAAGGACTGAGACTACATAATGTCCTGAAACACCGTGTTTCGGATTCGTTTTGGACGGATTCGGACGACACGGCCGTCGAAAAAATCTCCATTATTGGATTTTTTGGTACGGGCCTCCGGGGGAACGTTCGAATGCGACCAACGACCGTAAAACGTGTGCTGGCCCAGAATTTCGTGGGCGAATGCAATTCGAGACAATCGTGGGACCGTTGGGTTTAGCCAACGGGGCTCTGACTCGAGCTGGGCCCGCCGTGGTCGCGCAGAGCCCATCGACGCGCCGGGGTGAGACGTCGACGGCGGGTGGGCCCAAAGGCCGACGGCGCCACGGGGGCCCATCCGCCGACGTGGTGTGCGTGGCACGGGACGAGAACGGACCCGGCGATCAGGGGCCCAGATACGCAAGAGCCCGATCCGCGGGGAGTCTACGTGTCATCCCACCGAGCTCGGCGTAAGTGTGCGTACGTGTGCGCGTGAGCTCGCGCACCGCACCACGCATAACCCTAGACCGATCGCATTGCCATGAGGTTTAACGACCGTCGGGGGGCCGCGCTGGATGGGGCGGTGCGCACCATCGGTAAACACAAAAACACTTACTGTAATCACGTTGTGTGCCTGCCGCGAGAACGAGACGGTGTGTATGGGGTAGGTATTGGCGAGACGCGTGTGCACGAACGAAACGAGCGAACGACAATTCGATGCAAAAACCGAAACGATTTTAACACTGCAAAGTAACCAGCCGCCGCACCGCTATCAAACCATTACACATGTAAAAAGATTTTTTTTTCACCTTTCCGCAATGCTGCCACCACATCGGCAGAGAAAGTTTTAGACGGCGTTGCACCGGCCGACATTACAGCCGACGTCGAACACTCCCACCGAGTCGTTGGCAGTGAACGGCGGCGTATATTGCTTTACGTTTGGAAGTTGAGACTTTGGGAGACACTCACCGATCCGCCTTTTGAGCATTTGCCCTTTGCACCCTATTGCCCATTATTATTATTATTCTTATTATTATGTGGCTGTATGGGTTTTTTTTTTTAGTTTTGAGTACACCTAGAAATAAAACCTTCCAGTGGAACGAGACATAATTATTTTTAAAATTTAGTTTCAAAAAATAACGCATCATAATATTATGTCCGGTGCGAATGTTATTCCTCACCAGTCACCGTCCATAGGGCACGGGACACAGACCTATAAAAGTGTTATGTACCGGTACAGTTAATTTACCCCTCAACTGACAGTATTCAAGAATATTAGTCCGTTCTATATAGTGATTGTACAACTGTGCGTTTCCGATGTAATGTTGTTTACGAAAAAATGGGCAAATCACAAAGTGATAATAATGCTGTATAAAGTCGTTCCTTCCAAAACTTTTCCACGTGCATTCTCTTCGACTCCTCCGCCCTCCAGCCTTTCCCCCAATTATATTGTGCCGTTATATCCTGAACTCTCGGGATCGGCCACCCTTTTCATATCCCTCCGCGTAGGGCTCCGTTCCTTTTAACTCTGATTTTACTCCGATTATTTCCTCGTTTTATCATAATATATCATGAGTATTGTAACGCGAACGGCACGAATAAATGGACGTCTCGATTCGAGAATTACCTACGCATTAATAGTACGGAATATTATTATTTCGTACGGGGCCGATTTGTCGACGAGTTGTGGCGACATTGGATCCACGGAGCGATGATGTCACGCACTCACGTCTCACCGACGCGTCAACACGGGTGTACGTGGACAGTGGAAACGCATTATTCAAATCATTGACAGACTGTATAGGTATATGTCTGCCGAAACGTAGTAAAGGCGTGTGTGTCGTTGACTACTGAGTATTGACATCAACAAATATTGAACATTGAACAATAATAATGTAGGTGTACGCGTTGGAAGTGCCATAATGGTGTAATGTGCATATGAATTTATACGAGAGCATAGTAAATGTGCCAGTGCCATGCGGTTATCACGACGATAATATTGAAATATCGTGCCGTTGCGTATTGCGTACATGGATACCTACACTAAACGACCGATTTGATTTTATATAGCTACCTATACTACACAACCGTACGAGTATTATTAAGTAATGTTGTTTACAATGTTCGGAACTCCGAGGTCAAATACACCGTTTCCAGATATAAAATAAATATTTTATTTCACGGGCTATGATACGTAATATTATACGTGTTCGCACGTTTTCCTTTTGTAATTTCGTAGAACGAATTTCGTTTGGTCGAAATTAGTACTTATTTACGTTTTACAATATGGTATATATTGACGGTACATCATAATATTAGAGTTAGCATTTACGAAAATGTGTTGGGTATAATGTATGTCTGCGACTTTTATCGCTTTGACGTTTTGTAATCAATATACTATTACCATATACTTAAATGTATAATGACATTAATACTACAATGCAATATTAACAATATTTATTTCTACAGTACCTACCTATTTCATATTTTCTCATTTAATCATGTTTTTCTAATTTTTCATAATAATTATTTATACCCATCTGGCTACTTCCATATTTTTTCTATTCCTTGGAAAATCTGCAACTCGGAGTTCTTCTACAGTTCTAACTATACTGATTAGCTATATACTAGGAATTTCGTTTTTTAGTGAACCTTTATTTTAACAATATTTTAATTCTTAGTTATTTTTAGATTATTGTTTTAATTAATATAATAATATACTAGTCAGTAGTCTGTGATAAAAAATTAATAATCAATGTATTTTTAATTTTTATGGACCCTATACTGCTTCTGATTGTAATCTTTAAACACAAACAATAATACCACTAATAGAAAAATTAAAGTCCTACAATTTTTATCAAAATAAACAAAAATATAATTATTATAAAATAATTAACAAGTATTCTTTCATTAAATATTTTAAAGAAAAAAGTTTTAAATATGTCCTCACAACCAAAACTATGTACCACAGAATAAATTTAATTACCTAGATAGTTTTTTTTTTTTTAATTGGCTGCAACTACTACATACTACTTAGTACTTACCAACAATGGCTCCAGAATTGATTAGTTACTTAAACCAGACATGTATTTAGAGGTTTTCAAATGTACCCTGACACCCTGTTCCCAGGGGCTGTAATTTTTTAATTCATTCAGGGTGCTGAAAATGTATATTGACATATGATTATTGAGTATTAATTGTATTGGAAAAAAATGTTATTAGATATTTTAATAACTATTAAAACCTTTTGTTAAAAAGAGCCTGTACGTGACTTGTTTTTATGTACCAAAACATGCCGATGCCTTTACAGTTTACGGGAAAACTCTCACTCGTAGAACGATTCGATTTCGATAATAATTTTTTTTTTTAAGATTAACACTTCTGATAAAGCTCATTGGACTTGTATTTTCGATATCCTATTTCTAAACAAAATGATAGGTTTTTGAAAACGACCAATTTTTACAAGCTTTTGTTATTTTTATTATGTTTGATTTAAGCAACATAATTGAAAATCGAAGTTCAATGCGCCCTGTAGAAAATTATCCTCTACCTAACAAAAAAAAAATTAATCTAACCTAAACACTCTACAATGCGTAAGAGTTTTTCCTGTAAAGCGTGTTTTGAGAAAAAAAATAAAAATCATGCTTTTTATTTTTGGTCAACGGTGCCTTTGACAAGTGTGTGCGTGCAAGGCGTGTGTAGATAGCCCTTTACCCACTTAGAACCACACTCACACTAATTATCATTACCGACTAATTATTATTACAAATAAAATGAAGATCAAAAAAATATTCGATAGTAATAAATGTAACATTGTTATGTAAAATGAATGATCGATGATATCGATAGCCCCAACGTAAAATACAAAAGGACACAAGCCCCATTTATCTGAGTTTTCAGGTTAGTCAATAAACGGTTTTTATATTATTTTACATTCTAAAACTCTGATCAATTCTGAACAATGAATGTAGGTAGGTATATTGAATTTCCAATGTTTTTTTTCCGTCTGTCATCACCTTTTGACATTTGGGCCAGTAGAAAAGCTTTGATACCAACTTGATTGGTGGTTCCTGGTAGCAAATTGAATATTATAGTTATTTCATTGAGGGGTCAAAAGTAAAATTTCCCAGTACTTTTTAAAATAACAGGGAAAAACAAAAAAAAACTGGAATTTTTACGCGAAGCGAAGCGAAATTTACCCAAATTTCAATTGACTCGTTAAACAATAATTCATTGCAACAATCTTTTTTTATTTTTTTATTTAGAAAATGTACAATCTGTAATACTAGACACAATAGGTAAAATAGATGACTAATAAAACTAAATAATCACTCTTCACTATAAATATTGCCAACAAATATTAAAAATATAATAAAAACGTCTTGTCATAAGTCGTTATAAATTTATAATTTATAATATACATCAGTCAAATGAACCTTTTGAAAGAGTAGAAAAATCCGTGGCAATTCCAATACAATTTTAGCAATACTATATTATTATATAGGTAAATTATATTGTACCCTCATGTTATACTGTGCTATGTGGAGTGTTATAATGTTTTGCAATACAACTAATAAGTATAAGAAGTAAGTACTAAAGTACCTATGCAACTATCACTAAAAACACCGTTTTCATATAGAGATATATCTTATAGCCACGGACTAAGATAGGTTAGGTTATATATTAATTTTTATATATTATTTATTATATATTAACCTAACCTAACCCATCTTAGTCTGTGCTTATAGCATCCTGCTCAATATACGCAGCAGTGGTACCTACCTATATGTAGGATTTTTTTTTAAGAGATGATATGACCAAAACTATTTTGCACATTAAGTGCGAGGGAGATAGATATCCCCTAGAATAATCCACGGATTTTATTATCGCTGGTATTAACAATACCCACCATTCACCAACACCAACACCATCAACCACTCTTCCTATTAATTAGTTACAACAGTTTTTAAAAAAAATAAGGAAAATTAAATTAACCAAAAAAAATGGCTCTGGGGTGTGATACATCACCCAGGTCACCTGTCAATACGCCACTGATATGCAGTAATTATAGGGTTACGCGTAAAAACCTGGAATTTAATACCTGGACGTAGATATTTGGACTGTAAAAAATTGAAATTTAAAATTTGAAATCCATAAAAATCTGGAACGGATAAAACTGGACGGTACAATTTTGAAACACACACACGCATATACAGGGACGGAGTAGTTGTTGATGTAATTTATAAATGAAAATCACTTTTCCTTTTTTTTAAAAGAGAACTCTTCTTTTGCAATTCTTCTATAATTTTATATGAATCTAATAGTGTTAATTTCTGTTTTTCCATAGCCATTAACATGAATTCTTCTAGTTTTGAATCCGAAAGTTGACTACAAAGTCTTGACTTAATGTTTTTTAAGAAAGAAAAAGATTTTTCATATGATATTTGGGTTGATGGTAGAGTAAGTACATATTTGTGTGCTAAAAATGAAATAAAAAAATGATGTTAGGCTCTTAGAAGCCTTTGCTTCTAAAAGTAGTTTTTTTTCATGGAATTTTTTCAACTCCTCCTTTTTTATTGCAGTCTGATCCATCCATTTTCATTTTATTTTATAATTCACAACTATTAGGTACTATTGTAATACAAAATATTTTATCAAATATTCCTAGTTAAGCACTTAGTAATTAAATTGTAAAATTAACCAAATTGTGAACTGCTGACTGCCGAATGCTGATAAGTGCTGAGGTTTTGAATGACGATTGATATTTTATATAAATAATTTAATTTATAGATAAAAAATAAAAATATTCCTATTTAACTACTTGAATCATTCAAAGCCGTCATTACCCGCAACCCGCCGGCCCATCTGATCGACGACAACTCGAATAACCAATTATTTTACTGTCCACGGAGGTTGATTTTTTGTATGATTATTGTTATTTCTAATATTTCTTATTGATAATTAATATTATTATTCAGTTCAGTTGTAGACATTATATTATTACAATTTAACACGCTTTACGTTATAATATTATAGACTGTTATTACTTAATATCACTAATATCATTGATTATAGAATGAATAATTTAAAATCAACGGTAATATTTATTAGGTTATATTTAATTCTACTTTTCTGCTATTTACTTAGTATGCGGCCCATCGGGGATTTCCCGATTTCCCTATGGCCCAATCCGTCCCTGCGCATATATGTAATTCATAGCTATACAATTTGAACATGTCATATTTTTTTAACTTCCTACCTATATGATAAGAATATGAAAGTGTTTGTAGTTTTGATACATTTTGTCGAAATCTGAACTTTACATGCTTATAAAAAAAAAAAAACATACCTGAGTATCTTTAATGCAGCATAGGTAAATATAATTGCATAGTTCAGTTTTCAACAAAATTTATCAAAACTACAAACATTTTCATATTCTTATCATATAGGTAGGAAGTTGACCTAGAGATGCCCTATCCCCAATACTCTTTAATATAGCATTAGAAATGGTAGTTAGAAAAACTCAGAAGAAATATGGTGGGGTATACTTGAAAGAGAACAGAAGACAATGCGGAGTCCTAGCGTACGCAGATGATATTATCATATTGGGATCAGACAGTCAAGAAGTCAAAGCAGGAACCAAAGAACTAATAATAAACAGCAAAGACATTGGATTACAAATAAACGAAGGAAAAACCAAATATATGGTTATATCTAGGCGAGAAAATTACGAGGAAAATTTAGAAGTTGAGAATTATAAATTTGAAAGAGTGCAAAATTTTAAATACTTGGGTGTTACAATAAATAGCAAAGATAATAATCACAATGAAATTAAAAGAAGACTAACTGCAGCAAATAAATGCTATTATGGAGTAACGAGTATACTAAAATCAAAACAGGTATCACTCAAATCAAAAATTACAATATACAAGGTAATTATCAGACCAGTCCTTTTATATGCGTGTGAAACATGGCCAACGACTAAAGGAGACGAAGACAAATTAGCAATATTCGAAAGAAGAATATTAAGAAGAATTATTTGGGCCAAAAATAAATAACATAGCACAACAATATGAGAAAAGAAATAATATAGAAATACAACAATTATCTAAAGAGCCAGACATAGTAGCAGTATTAAAAAATAGGAGAAAGGCATGGGCCGGTCATGTATGGAGGTCAAATGGTCTAATGAAAGAGGTTTTAAATTGGAAAGCCCCAGGGGAAAAGACCACTTGGCAGGCCGAAACAAAGGTGGATTGACAAATTGGAGAAGAATTTAGCAGAGATTGGAATACGAGATGGAGAAACAATAGCACAGGACAGAGACAGATGGAAGAAAGTTTGTGTTGCGGTAATGGGCCTCAATGGCCTTTAGAAACCGAAGAAGAAGAAGAAGAAGATGATAGGTAGGAAGTTCAAAAAATATGACATGTTCAAATTGTATAGCTATGAATTATATATATGCGTGTGTGTGTTTCAAAATTGTACCGTCCAGTTTTATCCGTTCCAGATTTTTATGGATTTCAAATTTCAAATTCCAGTTTCTTACAGTCCAAATTTCTACTGTCCAGGTATTAAATTCCAGAGTTTAACATTCCAAGTTTTTGCAGGTCGCCACTTAAAACAATTTAGAGCTTGATGGACTTATGATTATGTACAATAAATATTATAATTTATTACAATTGAATTGTAATATTATATTATTTAAATTCAAGCGGGAATTAATGTTGGTATATTATTATGATATTAAATATCTATGATAGCACTTATCACCGCAATGTTGATAATTGATATACTATCATTATTAATATCACAGACCGTGGACCAATCCATGCCCCATGCTTTTAGTACTTGCTAGTTGCTACTCCTACCGTAGTACGTGAAACGACAACTTATTAGTATTCACTAGTATTATATATTTATATAGTTTCTCGTCGGATGTGTAATTAAGCACTGTGGTCTGTGATTTAAAATAACCAAATGATCAAAGACTAAAGTATTTAAGTATTAACGAAGTAATTTCATTATGCGTTTAACCAATGTTACGTATTTTCGCGATATGCGAAGATACACGAAAAATCCACTCGAAGTTAAATTCGAGGAACTATTGCCGCTTAAATTGAAAGAAAAAGTATCTGGTAAAGGAGATAGGTCCAAAGAACGTGCATGTGTTCATGAGATATCTATCATGTTTGCCTGCTTCAAAAAAAATGAATTTGATCAAGCCCGATGTTCAGATGAAATTACCAAGTTTCAAGCATGTGCAACTAAAAATTATGCTGACAAGTTTAAAAGAAAACAAGACAGGCGAGAAGGAAATATTTCTACCGGAAAAGACAATCTTACACCTAGAGAAATCAATTATCTTCTGAAAAAGTATCCAAATCCGTAAAATTGAGTTTCTAGAATTTTTATCATGGTACAAGTAGTTATTTAAATTTATTAAACTGTAATATTTATTTAAAATGTAAAATTTGTTTGTTAACACTGTGTTGCAAAATAAAATAAAAAATAAGTATAACAATTATATTGCTATTAATTTGTCAATATTATGATTATCAATGACTAGCTGACCCGGCAATGCTTCACTATTGCAAGATTTCTCAGATATTATATTAATATTTATTTTCTGGATGTTAAATAATTATTTTTGTTTTAGACCATTTTTAGTCATGTCTCCGTGGTAATGCATCCATATAAATTTAGTGTCGCCACTGCAGGTTCTTCATACTGTTGAAAAAAAATTATATCGTCTGTTTTTGGTTACTAAGGTTACCAAACAATTATTGTATTAATAATACTATAATTTTAAAATGTTCATAGGGTATCTCTCCGACAATTGTTTTAAAAGATACAAAATAGAACTTTTAATTTTTAATTTTGACCTTTCAAGAGTTTAGCTAAATACAATTTGCTTCCAGAACCTCCATTGATTAATTATAAATACTAATAATAGATACTCGGATAAATTTAATTGTTTTTTTTTTTTTTTGCTAAACTAAATAATTATAATAACTGTTTATTATTCCACATTGTTACCGATCTGCTTAGAAGCATCTGTTGTTGTTGAGTTTGATTTTTATTTATTTTCAGCCAGCGAGTATTTCTTACAAAAAAAGGTTTAGGTATACAATTTACACGTTTATTTTAATTTATAATAACTAATTATTTATTAACTTTTTATCGGACTAAATTAATGCCTAAAACCTTTTTTGTGATGTCCTCTTTAAATTTAAAAAAACTGCACAAAAATTGAATAAGTATAGTTTGGGAGTTAATTCCAAACAAGAGAAAGTGACTTTATTTTATTTTATTTTCAATCTGTGCTCTGGCGCTCTCCGCACGCTAATAATAGGCTATATACATGCTTATATTTGTTATGATGCATCTTAATTAAAATTTGAACAAATATTATATGAGTTAATAAACTTCATGTAGGTAGGTATCAATGATAATTTTACCTGTATGAAGGATTTACAAAAAATCAGTGGTTGTTTTGGGATTCAATTGTGACTGAGGCAACTTAAATTCTTATATACATGTATTTTATGATAAAATATGTTAATATTAAATCTAGTATTATAGGTAGGTTTATATTAATCCTCAAGAGCAGAACAGTGAACTAAACAACTAACACTGTTATATACATTTTACCACAAACCCAGGCTCAAGATATATGTTCAATAACATCTTCCGTATAAACATTATTTTTACCGGTTTATTGGCATCTAAACATGAGTCTAAAAAGCTATCCTTTTCCACCACACTTAGTATATCTATGAAATGCTATTTTGAACTTTTTTTATTGCTAGGTAATTACTAGTTTAATAAAATACATATAATAATGTAATATAACACAAATTTATAATTATTTAAAAAAATAAAGGCTAGATTTGGTATAGATTGATAGATTTCCGCCATATGCCAGTATTTCAAGTCACAGATTATATGGGTATAATATTCGTAGCAATTCCAATACAATTTTAGTAATACTATATTATTGATTATTGTACATAGGTACCTATGATACCTGGATTATATTGTACTGTGTAATGATTTTTTTTATATTGTTTTGTGATGCTAAATATGTTTTGTGATATAAGTAGTAAGACTGAAGTAACGAAACAACTATTAGAAAAAAACAACGTATTCATATTCCATAATCCATACTATAGACTGTATAATGCTATACACATACATTTTAAGGTATCCCGCTCAATATATGCAGCACGATCTAAGTTCTCAGTTCGTGATATGCAGTAATAGCACAGATGTCGAAGTATATAAAATAATAATATTAATACGATTTAATAAATACATTAATTTACTATTTAGCCATGGTTATTACTCATTAGTTATAATGTTATATTCTGTATTTCTGTGGAAGTATTTCATTTTTCGTTTTCGTATAATAATAATATAATCACTAATCAGGTATCTACAACTATCTAGCTGATTATCTATATCTGTAGCCCGGCATGTTTGTACTTTAGTGTTTATACCGCACTTGGAGTTTGGACCAGGAGTCTCGACGTCGGTGTTACCACGGATATAGATATACATGTTGCACATCGCCCCATAGTAAACAGCTTTCCAAGTGACTATTTAAAACAACTGTAAAAAATAATGACTAGCGCTTTTTATCAACACTCTACAAAAAGTGTCAACATTTAGAACTAACTTCATACCTATATATCTATAATCGGTTCATTGTGATCTGCCGCTTGGAGCGCTACTGGTTATTTTTTGCTGGTCAGTTGGTCAGTAGTTCATGACGACCGTCTTATCAGATGCCGATTGGCATCACAGTTGTGTAATTTGTATCTCTAATCGTGTTGTTACGCCCGGTTCACGGACCAATTTTACAATTTTCCCGATAGAAGCACTGAACAATTACAACTTACTGTATAGACCTTAGAGTTCAGCGGATAGAACTATTGAAGTTAGTGGCTGCACCGTCCTGCACATTGATAATAAAAAAACGGCTTTTCGGCAAGGCAGGAATGTGGCGGCGGCCGGCGTGTTAATCTGCAATGCTGCCCAATGGTTAACTGTTAAGTAAGCATAAAAACTTATCTATTGTATACACTATACAGGCATACGGTACGTATACCGCCATTTTAATCAATAGTCTTTCATTACCGATGATATGAATTTTCCATGTCTAATTTTGGTTTGCAAAGAATTTTGTTTACAAATTAATCCAATTTCACTGAATTAATATTTTTGCTATTTCACATTTTCACTTGACAGTTCGCTGGACTTATAAAGTGTATTCTTGTTGATAGTGGACTCTGGAACTACAGTTTGTTTTATACGTTTGGAAGTTTGGAATTCTGTAATAATTTTAACTAAACACATTCTGCACTGTGTACTCTGAGAATTTGTGTCTGCTACTTTTTGGATTGTTCCGTCGTTATTTAGTGGATATTACGTGTGCCGTGTAGCTGTGTTTTATATTATTGTGTTTGTGGTCGTATACTACTATTATTATTCTTTCTAATAAATATATATCTTGTAAGTATGAAAGTCTATATTATTATCATTATAAGTTGTTTGATTTTATTTAAAGGATGCTGAACTTGTTTGTATCTGTCTTACTCATTGGCGCAAATCGCAGGGGTGCTAAGGGTACTTAGCACCCTGAATTTTAATGCTAGCACCCCAAATCCCGTGATTATAACTTATAGTACTAATACCATAATATTTCCATAATAATTATATTTATTAAAAAAATAAAAGAAGATTTATTTAATAATTTGTATTAATAATTAATAGGTATGTTGAGTGTATGTCTGGATAAATTAAACTATTATGAGTTATGAAATATAATATATAAGATGTATACTGTATATATAATTGGTGTTGTGATTATGATAAAAAATTATTGTATTAATAAACATATAACAATATCGAAAATGCTCATCTACACAGACTGCGACAAAACTATTTTAATCCTATTCTGTAGAATTACTCATACATTGCCCTACGACATCAACGACGGCAAAAAAAGTACATTTATATAATATAATAATAATGATTCCACATTAAAGGATTTGTTTTCAATAAAAACGGAATGTTAGGTAGAAGTCTGAAATGACAGTTGCTAGAAACTGAGATTCAACTTACTGAAAAATTTAGGTTCCGCCTAAAAACTTTGGATTTATAGTTAATTGTATTTTATTAATATTTATATATATGGTATAGTACTAGGGGTGTGTGAGGGGCATAGTCCCTCACGCGTCCGTTGCCCCCAAGATTTGTTTGGTGCTTAAGCCCCCCCAATATTTTCGGGTGAATTGCGCCTATGGTCTTACTAATGTTTAATACATCAAATTGTGCATTCTGAATAATCCATTTAATTCTGTTATGTTTAATATTGGAGTGAATTGACTTTTAACAAATTTAGAAGGAAGAATATTATTATCTAGTGGACCTTAGGGTTTTTTGGTATTTTAATTTTAAAGCTGGAGGTAGTTATGAGCATTTTAAAAAAGGAACAAATATTTACCGTTTTAAAATATGAGTTTAGCAGCTACTTAATATATTTTTAGATTTTAGCTTCAACAACAAACTTATGAAGTAGGTTTAACACTGTTGTTCTGATTTCATGTTTCACTGTTTGCTATTCCAGACGTTCAGTTATAACCATTATATTATATTTTGTCTGTTTTTTCTAAACCCATTGAATGTTTTTTTTTGTAATAATCGATAGTGCTCTCAAAAGATTAAAATGTAAGCATAAATGTATAATATCTTAGTCTGTTGTAAATGTCTTTTATCTGTTTATCATTATTACAATTTGTAATTCATTACTTTATTATTAGTTAGAAATGTTTGTGGCTATTAATTTTTGCGTTAATAAATGACAGGCAAATTAATATTTATTGTTATTGGTGGTAATGTTTCTTAGTATTGGTTTATTATATTTCAATTACCTATTGTTGAAGATGAATAGTTGGGCGTGTGGGAAAGCCACCCACCACTGAAGTTAATACATGGAATGTGTGTATTAATCAAAATATGATCCTGATAGAAGGTCCTCAGATGTATTCATGGTCATTGAAAAACACAATGAAACATTATGTGATCTATGAAAATTGTTATTATCACTATAATATTTATGTTAAAAATCAAATTGGAATGCATAAACTGACTGCCGTATGGGCTCATTTTAGTTATTTGAGAATTATACATAAAACTCTAAAAAATTTTATCCGTGTGAGTCCCCTTTCATTTTTTTTCAAATTTGAACATTAGACACTGATTTTTTTGCAACTATTTTTATTAGTGTGTGTTTTTTTTCCATTTTATAGTTTTTGGATTTTTATCAGTTTTTCTTTACATGTTACAATAGTTTCGAGCTAATGATTCCATTCTTTTTTTTGCATATTTTAACAAAATTTGATATTTATTATGTATCTACCTAGTATCTACCTATCTTTTAAAACTATTTGAGTATTAGTTTAATCAATAATATAAAATAAAATATACACCTAAAAATTATGTTCATTCTAATAGTCTAATGCATTTATTACAATATATTTTGTTTTTGCAGTTTATTGTCAACAGTGCACATAAGTGTATGTGGATTATTATAAGTTGTACTTATTTGAAAAAATCACAAGTGCATAATTTTTAAATTATGAATTCGTTACCATTTGTAAGTAATATATTAATAATTTAACTATATACGGGGTGTTTGTGGCGCATTCATACTAACTATGAAATTACAATAAAATCCTATTTTGAAATTTGATATTTTTAAGGGCTCAAATTAATGACATGACAAGTCTTTATTGTTTTTCATTTTAATGACTTACCTTGTATATTTTTTGTCCTTTAAAATTCCTATTTTGATATGTAACTATTAATGAGATTTTTAGATGCTGGCATTATATCCTTAATTAGGAAATCTCTTGAATCATACATCGGAATGGAAGATTGGGATTCAGGGGACTACAATTCTCATGGTTTATTTTTAATTGCAATATGTTGGCAATTCAAAATACCACACTTTCATTTACTACCTTAAGATTACATGTGCATAACAGCAAATTAATGAAACTAAATGTGAACTGCTCAACACATGTTCCTTACTTTTAAGACAATTTGTTGTTTGGGATCCTATTAATTGAGATGTTTGTAAAATAGTTGCCACTTTTGCAAAGCACTATCTTAACATTTTTATTAAGATAATGTTTACTTAATTTTTAGATTTTTGATCAACCAGTAAAACTAATTTTATTAGCTATAAATATTATATAAATTAGTAATTTTAATACTTGCAGGATATATTTTGTTCAAAACATTCAGACTGTGAAGCACCAATATCTGTTATTACCGAGATCTTATCAGAAAACGACCCTTTAAAGTAAATAATTTACAGATATTAATATTATTGTATCCAGATTTATTTATTTTTTATTTATATACTTGTGTAAATTAAAAGAATAATGCATGAATTATAATTATAATTATAATTCTTATATTTGAACTTATTCATTTAAGTTGTGTGGGAAGTATGAATTCTCAATTTATGTTTATTTTTTTTGTGGATTTTCCGCTAAAGCTGTTATATTTTAACTGCTTCCCGCATTTTAGTTTTCGAGTGAAGTGAAGATTCGAGATGTGTTATATTAGTTAAAAAAGTATTTACTTTGTTTATTGTCTTGTGTCCATTGGTAGGGAAGTTAAGGGTTATACTCTCTCTATTGTCATTTTTAAAAGCTGCCTATTTATTATGAGATCTGTCACTACTTATTAGTCTTACTTAGTACTTACCTACTAAGTTTTATTCTACTATACACATTATATTTAAGTATACATTATGTTATTAATATGCATTAGTACTTTATGTATTAACTATACAGCAGTTATATTAAAAACCTTACCAAATGTGGGTGGTAGTTATGACTAAACTTGTGTGTAATCACACATGTTTATGTTATATGCATACTTACTCAACTTCTTATTACCAATTTATTTCATAATTAATTGTTTTTATTTTTATAGATTTGAAAAAATCTCCAATGAATTTGAATTATTAGGATTTACAAAAGTAAAGGATTTGGCACGAGCAACCCTCGGAAAGGCCAGCTCAATGAAATTGTGTGGCGATTCTTTAACACTGCTTTATGGAGCTATAGAGGTAAAAATTAATAATATTCAATATATTTTAGATTATATTTTTACAGTTTTTTTTTTTTTTTAGATTTACAGTGAACACCTAGGTAAGTTATTATCATTGATCAATAATCATAATCATCAGTATTATCAATTGTATATAATTGTATTATAAATGCTATATTTAAATGAGCATATAACGTTAATTATACTGGATTAATATTATAGTGAAAAAAAAAACCGAAATGTTAATTATACCCCAAGGTGGATTGATATCAATTTAAATCATTATTTAATTAGTATTATCAATCTACCTTGCTTTAACTAGGGATGGACCGATACCACTTATTACCGATATCCTATATTCCGATATAAAACCGATACCCGATAATATATGGGAATGTTAAAACAACATTTTTGACAAAAAAAACATGAGCCGATACCACCAAAAAACCAGGTACCATCAACCGATATATATAATAAAACCAATACCCGATAACACAAATAATATTACCTAGAAAAGTGAAAACATTGATTATTATAAAATAATCTAAAGTATTTGATTATTGATAACCTAACCTGTGCATTTGTGAGTTATGATACTATCAATACTATGCTGATCGATAGGTTTTTTTTTTTGGTATCGGTTGAAATTTATTCTATCTTATTTTTTGTTGTTTATAACAGAGGACGACCAAATTAAGCTTGGGGGTGAATCTGTTTCGTCACATTTTCTCTCAGAATAAAACTTTATTTGAACCTAAATGTTATTGTATTAATACTGAAATAACTTATAAAAAATGCTTTGGTTTTTTTTTTTAGATAAACTTCTACAATCTGCAAAATTAGAAAATAAAAATGGAAATTTCATCAAAACCCAATTGATATGTGAAGAATTACTTACACATAAACCAACTGATTTAAATGTTATCTTGCTTAATGCCCAATCATTTCTCGATCTCGGAGATTATGAAAAATGCATTGATTGTTTGGAAAAAGCAAAAAATATTTATCCCAGCTGTTATGAAGTTTTAAATAACTTAGCATTAGTTCATTGGAAAAAATCTGAAAATGAATTAGCAAAACAATATTTATCGGAAGCTTGTGAATTAAAACCTTTTTGTGTCGATACGTGGACAAATTATGCTAATCTATTATTTATTGCAAACGACTTGAACTCAGCTGAACTAGCTTATGAACGGGTTTTAAGTCTAAAACCGGAATTATATAAAGTACGTAATATGTACGGAAAACTACTATTAAAATTAAATAAAATAAAAGATGCTAAAAAGCAATTTAAGATTGCCCACAACAGTGCGACAGAATGTCCAGAAACTTTAAATAATTTAGGAGATGCTTATTATAAGTGCGGTAAATTTGAAAAAGCTATTTCTAATTATAAAAAAGCTTTAGAAATAAATCCTGATCTAAAGAATGTTCATGGTAGTTTGGGAATAGCTTATCTAAAATTTACCGATTTACAAAACGCAGTTAATGCATTTCTTAAAGCAATAGATTTAGAACCAGAAAATGTGTCTCTTTTAAGAAATCTAGCAGTTACGTACTGTCATCAAACAAATATGGAATTGTCTGTTGAAGTATTCAAAAAGTGCTTAAAACTTCAACCTGAAAACTTTGAACTTAATTTAGATTTGGCTTTGATATATTTATGTAACCTTAAAAATTATCAAGAATCTGTTGTATATTTAAAAAAATGTATCCAGTTAAATCCGGGAAGAAAAGATGTATACAAGAATCTTTTATTTGCATACCGGAAGATTAATGATTTTCTAAATGCCTCAGATACTTGCATGTCATTGGGTGATCTGTATCTGGAAGATGATGATCAAGAAAATGCAAGAAATGCATTTACTTGGGCAATTCTTATGAACCCTGGTAATCCATATGGTCATTGGAAAGTGGGCCTGACTATGTATAAACTGCGTCATTTTGATTTGGCTTTAATCAGGTAATAATTAATTAATACAGTAGTAATTTAATGTTTGTCTTGTTATATACCGGCTATCTACTATTATCTTCGTTATAAGTTAAAACAATTTAATATTCAGTATTAGTTTTGTTACAAAGTAGCACTATAATAATGCATTAAATAATTTTCACTATTCTAGTTACTTGTAATATATAAATATATCTTATCTGTTAATTTTTATTCTCAACTATTATTAATTTATTAATAAATAGTTCATCGTCTTGCATAATATTTGAAACTATTAGTTTAAGTGGCGAAAATAACCCATAAGCAACCAAAAATTGACTCAACACCCACCCAGTCTCCTACCAAATATTTATAATCAACACAAGAAGTATTAGCATTACTATTATGAATTGGCTACTAAAATTATTAATGAATAATTGTTTTTCACATTCATAATAAGCACCCATCTAAATGTTAAAAAAAAATTGGGAAGTAACTGCTTCTTAAAGATCATGTACGTTTACCATTGATTAGTTATGTATTTGCATGTGTGCATTTAATTTTGCTATTTTTTAAATGCTAATTATTAATAAATTACAAAGGTTTTATTTAATTTTGACTTCAGTTTAAGATACTGTATCTGAAATAGGTGTAATAGTAGTATGTTTTCTTTCTTTTTGTCTTTAATTTCCCAAAAAAGTTCCCCTTCCCTCCCCTCCCGCTGTATGCTGCTACTGAAACAGATTCAGCTATGATTTGGTATAATGCGGGACGCACAGAAGAACCAATTTTTGTTGGTCCGCGGTGTGTTACCTTAATGGACAGAGTATAGAACTTGATTTAACTAATTTCTATTATTATTCATTTAAATTATATCTATTCAGCATTACAAGTAATTATATCAATTTATTTTTCAACAGGTTTAGGAAAGCTATTGAATTGAAGCCGAACTTTGCCGACGCTTACTGTGATAGTGCTATAGTTTATGAAGAATATGGTCTCTCTGCAAAGGCCATGGAGTATTATAATATGGCTCTTCAACTTCAACCAGACCATTTAAATGCTTTGATTAATATATCAAATCTTAAACAAAAATTGGGCCAACTTGATGGCATTGTTGACATCTATCAAAGAATTCTAAAAATTGACGAATCAGATGACTCAGAAGCTTTTGATATACATTTTAATTTAGCCAATATTTTGTATAAGGAAATAGGTAATCTTAATGATGCTTTAACACATTATGAAAAGGCTTTGGAATATGACAATACATCTGTCAGCATTTATATGCATATGGGAAATTTATATACAGATTTAAACATGAGTAAAGATGCATTACGTTGTTTTTACATGGCAATTCAGCATGATATACATTGTTTAGAAGCTTATATTCATGTAGGTTCTTTAGAAAAAGATAGTGATAATTTCATTAAAGCAATTCATGCTTATGAATTTGCATTAAAATTAAAACCAGATGTTCCAGACGTATATTGTAATTTAGTAAACTGTTTACAAAAAGTGTGTGACTGGTCAGACTATGATGTACGCGTGAAAAAATTACAAGAAATTGTCAGCAAACAACTGAATGATGATGATGTATTGTCCTTGTTACCTCATGATTCATTGATGTTTCCGCTACCGCTAGAAGTACAAACTAAAATTGCTACTAGGTATGCACAACATTGTGTTGAAAAATTGAAAACATTTATTGAAGAACCTAAACAATTTGTTTATCCAACATCTTTAATATCTTCCAATGGAAATCTCAGGATTGGTTTTGTATCAACCAACTTTGGTAAACACCCAATAACAACAATTATGGAATTCTTATCCAGCATATACAACTACCAAATAGATGTCATTTGTTATTCTATATCTTCAAATGATAATATTCCATCCTGGTAAATATTTGATTTAAATTATTTTAATAAATAAAAGTAAATGGTGGGGAAGTGTTTACTGCTCTGCTTTACTGTAGGTCTCAAGCGGGCTCGAATGATGTTGAATTTGAATTGAATAATATAATATCATTGTATACGAAAAACGATTCTGGGGGAAGACAGCCTATATTACCAAGTATATTTTATAATATTATTGCTACTAAAGTAATTAATTTTACTATTAATAGATTGAATTCCCATTTTTCCTCAATTTTTTTTTGTTTTTCCCAACTACTGAAAATTACTGGGAATTTTAATGTTGATCCCTCGAGTGCACCAATTAAAGTCACTTTCCTACTAAAAAAAGTGGGAGTTGCAAATCGAAGCATTATTTAGATTACCTATTGTGTATGTGCGCAAATAAAATTAAAAATTAAAACATCATTGTAAAATCAATCCATTCATGTCTTCGCTCAGAATCTTGGAGAATGTGTCTTATAACTTATAGACCTTTCTTAATAAAATGTAATACTACAATTTATTATTTAAACATATACAAAAATTTTAATTAACTTATAAGATTTTATTATTATCTTGTGATTTCTGATTTCTTAGAAACGAATACCTTGTAATAACTATGCTTTATTATTTAACATAAAGATAAACTAATTTCTTAAAATGCACTCACTATGTAGTATTAAGTTGTGTGTAATATTTTTCTGTTAACATATTAATTAATATGTTAACATATTAGTAATATATAATGTATAAATGTATAATATATAATATATAACTAAAAAATGTATAAATAAGCATGCATTCATGCCCTCAAAATTAGCAAAATATGCATTAAAATATGCACTAAAAAGTTTGAAAATTTGCATTTATAAGCCCTAACATTTTTAAATTATGCACTAAAAATATGCATTATGTAAAACAACCATGGGCAAATATTAAAATAATAAGAATATATCCATTAATTCAAAAGTGTTTTATTAATTTTAATTTGTATACATTTATTAACCAAAATTAGTAAAATAAAAAAAAAATGAATACTTGTGAAGTTCATAATATGGATAGCTAGGATACTATAGGTAGTCACAGGATAATAAAAATACTCTCATTTTGTAAACGGAAAAGTAAATAAATAACAAGAAACTTTTCAGATATTTGTCTAAAAAATTTTTTTATGAAATAATATGCGCTATCAACTCTAAAAAATCGACTATATGCCAAATATGCCCTAACACTCAAAACATGCAAAAACATGCACTATTAAACTTTATATTATTATTACTACTGTTATGAAACGGATTTGTATCTCAGTTAGCATGTTTTTCGGTGTAGCAGAAAAAACATGCGGATGCATGAACTTACGAGCCCTGTATATTACGTATAATATTAATTAATATTAACTAATTAATAACATATCAATCACTCACTATTATTATATTGATAATAGTATTAATTATCTAAAATCATTTTTTTTTAAATTTCAGGTTGAATCTCTTTGAACACCATAGAGATTTGTCACAACTTAAAGTAATTGATGCTGCTGAAGTTATAAATAATGATGGAATCCATATATTGGTTGACATGAGTGGTTATACTAAGGGTGCTCAAACTGATATATTTGCGCTGAGACCAGCTCCAATTCAAGTTTCATGGCTTGGTTATCCTAGTACCAGTGGCGCAACATTCATGGATTACTTAATTACAGATAGAATATGTTCTCCTCCTGAAATTCAAAATTTATATACTGAAAAATTGGTTTATACAAATCAAACTATTTTTGTTGGCGACCACAAACAGAAGTTTTCAAATTTACGACAACGTCAAGTAGTTATAAATAATACAAATAATCAAGGCATTTATCTTAATGGAAACAGTGCTCATGAATTAGTAACATTTGAAACCATATATATTGAAGAAGAACTAGCAACATCTATAAAATCATATTCTAGAGCAACGTTCAACTTACCGGAAAACGTGGTTGTTTTTTGTAATTTCATTAAACTGAATAAAATAGACCCATTTACCTTTCGTATGTGGCTAACTATTTTGAATAATGTTCCTAACTCTGTACTATGGCTTCTTCATTTGAATGATGTTGCCGAAAATAACTTAAGACAATTTGCTGATGGCTTAAACTTTGATACATCACGTATCATTTTTGCTGACTTTATTCCTAAATACCAACACGTGAATCGAATCCAATTGGCCGATATATATTTGGATACACATTTATACAATGGACACATAGCTTGCTTGGATGCATTATGGGCAGGAGTTCCAGTAATAACGTTACCTGGAGATACATATGCATCTCGAGTGACGGCTTCACAATTAAGTACTTTGGGAATTACTGATACTATTGCTCAAAATGAAGAGAACTATATTGAAATTGCAGTACAATTGGGGTTAAACAAACAAATTTTGGAAAATATCAGAAAAAATATTTGGGAATTAAAAATGCATAGTGGTCTGTTTGATATAAATGCTTATACCACAGAAATTATTTCAATCTTAAAAAATATGTGGGATAACTAATCTGTCTTCACATGGATTAATCATGTAGAAATGTATATTCATTAAAAAATCAGTTTTTTTAAATGTTAATCAGTTCAATTTTTTTTTTTTTTGTAAATTTGTATGGTCTTAAATTTAAAACATAATTTGTTTTTATTTATTTATTTTGTAAGTTGTACGCATAACGTATATCGTTTTATATTTAATCTATTCTGTGATATAAATTTTATTCGTGTATTTTGAGTATTTTCGATTTGTAAAAAAATATTTATGCCATACTTCTACTAATAATACAATTATAATAGTGAATAGTCATAATATAATTTGTAATCAATGGTAATTGCAAGTAGCTATATTAATAAAACAAATAATACTTGACTTTCATAAATTAAAACTTAATTAATGTCCGAGTCATCCATTAGTAACCTATATTAGTTGAAAAATAATCTATAAATGCTCTCTGAGTCTAAAGATGACAAACAAAGAAATGTTGTTTTAAGAATACACTTGCTGAATTGCCCGTTGTTTCCCGGGCCTAAAGTGAATTTGAGATATGTAATCCACCTGCGGAGGGTAGTAATAAGTAAATAACTAATGAGAAAATGTTTTCTTATGTAAACCGATAGCAAGCAGAGATAAACGAATGCGCGATTATGTTTAAATATTAATAATGGTCGCCCTAAAATAAATGGTTTAATCTAGATATATTATTATCTAAGCCGGCTTGCTTGATTCATCATAATCAGTTGAGTATGTTTTGATTCCTATTTCATAATCCATATAGGTACCTATACTCCTCACAGTTTGTCTTTTATATATTATATATAGCTATTACTCGTGTATTCGTGTGGCTTCTCACATAATACTCGTTCGACCCAACCGGAGTAAAAAATAGTGTGTAAAATACTCATAACTCGCGTTAAAATTAAAATATAAAAAAACCTATGAGGTTGCCCAGATAATAATCTTACCTTTAGATTTTATAAGAGGTCAATTCGCACTAATTTTTAAACTAATGGAGCTACAAGTATTCTGCTGAGCATAAAATTTGCTATGTTACGCACTTGTAAGACAGAAACAACACATGCAGGTATCACGTCCTCTTAAGAAAACAACAACATTTCTAAGTAGAAAACAAAATTTAAACAGCTAACATTTAAATTAATACATTTCACTAAAGTTCCATTCGTCTTTTGATGTTAGGATTTAATATTTTAAAAACTTCTATGACTTCTTCATAAATAAACACGGTATACTCAGTGTATAGACACGATTTTTTTTTATAAGCATTTAAAGTTCAAATTTTGACAACATTTATATCATTCAAATGTATAAATAATTTTAGAGTTAAAATTTAAAACAAAGTTCCAAGCAAGTATAGGTTATTCTATAACCAAAAAATCTAAATATATAAGGACAGTTTTTTTATGTTCAAATGTGGACGAAATTACATATTAAATAACCAAGAATAATGATTTATGTTATTTTGTTGTAAATTAAAAATATTATTCGTGGGTACTTGAAACTTTTAAAATAAATTATTATATTTTATACACACGATGACTTTTAAATTGTATTTTGACTGACAAAAATGAATTTAATCTACTGCGTATAGTACCTAGTACTACCCACTAATGCTTAATAGTAAAATAAATTACTTTAATCTCAATAATATCGGTTGGGACAAAATATTATGTGCCGGCTGAAATACTATTCGGACTAAATATAGTTCTGATCAAATATTTTTTGGCTTAAATACTGTCAGATGAAATATTTTTGACTAATAATGTCGGCTAAAATATTTTCGGATTTTTTATAGCTCCTCCATCAATCCATTTTACTCTATTGTGCCTAAAAAAGTTATACTTCAATAAATAGTCTTATCTTCAAATTCTCAATCATCGATACTTGAAAACTTTTGATACCCACTTCATATTAATGATAAAAACAAAATATATACTTAACCATTTAATGGGTACTCATTTTATAAATAATCTACTAGATGCATAGTATTTCATTATTATTATAATATAATTAGCCATAAACCTAAAAAACAAGGGCTGTTAAATTTGAACTTTAGGGTGCTAAATACAAAGGCTAAGTGCCCTTTTGCACCAATGTACATCGGCAATTGGTACATTATTATAGTGTTAACATTTAAATCAATGAATAATCTTATACCAGTTATACCTGTATAACTAACACACATATATTAGACACGTGTAATGTTTAATATGTTTAAAACAAAAGTACCTATCTACATTTTAAAAATTATTTAATCCAAACTTTGCTCCTTCAGTTCAATTAGAACAGAATAGTAAACCTCAGTTAATTATTATTGTTTTATTGCAAGAACAAAACGCACCTACGTAATATTTATAGGTACGTAGATAACATTTTATACATATTATAGAACTCAAAACAAACGCTTAGGCCTATTGATATTAATTATCTCTCATCGATAAATAATTTAAAATAACATTTAGGCTTCGGTATAGATAAAACACCACTGCAGTAATAATAATTATAACAATTTATGACCGCGGTAGGTATAGTGTCGTGCACATAATATAATTATTATTATCATTATAAATCGAATAAAATATTATCGATTCGAACCAATAGTGACGGAGTTCACTACAAACGCGTACCTACTACCCACCTACAACCTACCTTATAATCCTATATTATTATATAATATAATATTGTTTTGATTGCACTTATTAGTACCTATAAATACATCGGTGCGGGATACTGCAGATGAACGTTATTACATCGATCGACTGATGTTCATATTATAACTGCGCGATGAGTATCATATCGATAATAAAAAAAAAGTGCCAAAAAAACGAATTGACCGACGATGAGATCAAATTTTTCGTAAAATGTACAGTGGACGGATGCATAGACCAATGTCAAATCGGTAAGAGCGGTCACGATGTTAGGAAGTTTAACCTAACCAGGTGATTATTTTATTGAAGAACGTTAGTTTTTGAATATAATTTTTTACTTGATTTTCAGTTTGTTACAAAACAACATTTTTGAAAAAAATATGTTTTCTATTACTTTTTTTCGTTATCATTACTACCGTTTTTTTTTTTTTTTTGAATTACAATAATACTTATACATTTCATACTCAAAATATTTTTCGGAAATTTCCTTCCTCCTGTTGACTTGCCCTCGGGAAAACACCTTTCACATCATTGTTTACAAATGACTTTACTATACGTACCTCATTTTTTTTGGTTACCTACTTATACTATAGTACCTACACATTTCCGATTTCGGGCTACACACGAACACACCTCACATCATCAGGCAATTTACTAAAAATTAGAGGTGGCTGTTGCGTGCTGAAAACATCAATATTCATATATAAAACCCAATAAATCATCGCTTGACGCTTCCGATCCTGTGTACAGCAACTTTTACCTAGGCATACAATATGCTATTATAAAACATTAATGTGGTATGTTTATTCACGCAGGAGCGATGTTAATGGCCTTGTATTTAAACGACTTGACCAACGCCGAGGTCTGCAACATGACCACGGCCATGGCGAATTCCGGAAAAACACTCGAATTCAGATCGTCGGCAATTGTCGTGGACAAACACAGTACCGGAGGCGTCGGGGATAAAGTTTCGATTCCTCTCGTCCCTGCACTGAGTGCCGTGCAAGAAGACTTTATCATACCCATGGTGTCGGGCAGAGGACTGGAGTTTACCGGTGGCACGTTAGACAAACTCGAGAGTATTCCTGGTTTGCGCAATATATATTATCATTAACGAGTATTATCGCTGTCTAATCGAAGCCGTTTACTGTATATAGTTAAATAATAACTAATCGTTAACACCACATCACCATAACGCTGATGAGTAATAACTATACATCGTTTTAGGATTTTCCGCGTTTAGTTTCGGCGACCAACAACTGTTGGACTTGGGTAATAATTTCGGATGTTTCATCGTCGGCTCGGACGATTTGTCGCCGGCCGATTCTGTTCTCTACAAAGCTCGAGATGTCACTGCCACGGTCGATAATGCCGGATTAATTATAGGTAATTTAGTACCTACCAATTTAATATGAAAAAACATTCGAATAAGACACTTTATTTTCCATTTTATTAGCGTCTATAATATCTAAAAAAGCTGCCGCTGGTATTAAATATTTAATACTTGATTTAAAAGTTGGATCAGCGAGTTTTTTTCGTTCAATCGACGAAGCTAAGACATTTGGAAAGCAATTTGTAAGTTATTTTAATAATTTAACAAATAATTACCTACACATTAATCGAATATATTATAAATTATCTTTAGCTATACAATTTAGTTTGGGTATACAAAATTTGATTTTGCAATACTTACTAAAGTAAATTTACATAACAGTATAGGCGTACCTATATAGTAATTATCTCTCATCTCGCATGTTAGGTTTAATTTGTTCTACAATTGAAGAAATTTTAACTTTACTAACAATAATTAGTAGTTTGATTAGTTATGTATCGTCCGTGATCCATTTGAAATTCGTTACTCGTTTGACGCTTTTTTTTTTATTGTTGTCAATGTTTGGTGACATAATTTGATACTATGATTATAATCTATAATTAATATGTAATGAATATAATTATAATAATTTTCTTGCAATTCAAAATATAACCCGATTATAAAAAATTCAAATTCGTTTTAATTAAAATATAGTTAACTTGTAAATTAATAAAAATTAAAATCCGTTCAACCCTATAAAGTCCTACTGTTTTACTAACATACCTATATTATTTTATACAGCCTGTAGTTACTGCTCACAAGAAAAATATTATTTATTCAGACCCACAAATAGGTAACTAACTAGCTAGATATCTAAGCACTTTTATGTTATGTTTGAGGACCGCGGCATGTATAGCTACTCCAGTTGTCACACACTTACAAGCCACGACTCACAAGCCATTAAACACTTAAAACAAAGTTGCAATTCGTATCAACTTGTCCGTCTCGTTTACTCGTCGTTTATTTATCAAAGGAGATATTTATTATAGTAGTTAGTACCTATGCATTATTCTTTGTTTACGTGGTTGTTATGAATGTTATGCTTTGTTTATTTATGAAAGGTCATATATGAGACTGTGAAATCGTATATGTATTTTTATTCGTTTTATGAGATTGCAAAAATAAACGATTCAGCAGACTTCAGAAGAATCAGGAATCTGTTTTCAGATTTCTTATCTCATTATTCCATATTTTCTTTTCATTCTTTTTTTTTATTCCTTATTTATTCCTTATTTATTCCTTATTTATTTATTTTTATATCGATTGCTATGTTGGAAACGTATAAATACATAATATAGATACATTCCGATAGAAATTGAACGTGTGCGATAGCCGACAGGGACGATATATTGAGCAAATCTCCGCTCCCGATCTCGTTTATAGAAATTAGAAAGATGTAATTTTGTATTATTTTGAAGGTACGAGTAAATAAATATTATCATAAAATTAAATTCACTTTTATCTTCTCTTAGTCATCTACTTGTATATAGGTGGATAGCGCGCTATACCCATGCGGCTAATTAGGAAAATAACTATTGGCATTGCAGAGCACAAATATCTCAATTCCATGTATGTGTCGTATATATTTACATAATATAACGTATAGTTTGTGTAATGTTGTAGGTTTTAGTGGCTAAACTGATGGGTATTGAATGTAGAGCGTTGATGACTAGAATGTCAGCACCAATTGGTAATTATGTTGGTAACTCTTTGGAAATATTAGAATCCATAAATTGTTTAAAGGGAAAAGGTCCGAGTGACTTACAAACTCTCCTTGAACTAATCGGTATTTATATATATTTTTTATTTGCACAATAATAATGAATTAAATAATTGTTATTATTACGCTAAATTGAATAGGTGGACATCTGTTAGAAATGACTCATAAAGTAAGCTCGGTGAATGAAGGTCGTAAGCGTATGGCCGAGTCGTTAAATAATGGAACAGCTCTGGAAAAGTTCAAACAAATGTTAATAGAATTGAGAGTCGATGAGCGGATAGCAAATGAGTTGTGTTATGGCAACACAACATCCGTCTTACCAATGGCCAAATACGTGATCGAAATCAAGTCTCTCACTTCAGGTATATGCGCTGAAGTATTTAAAATTTTGAAATGCATTTATTTAAGTATGAAAAATGTACTTATTCAAAAAATAATTTTAAATACGAAACTTGCAGGCCAAAAAAAATGATCTAGTTTAATATTATACATTAACGTACCTACTTTATATTATATATCATTATAGGTTACGTGAATGACATAAATGGTATGACTATTGCTAAAGTCTGTAACAAATTGGGTGCCGGAAGACAATTTTCTAACCAAGCGATCGATCCAGCGGTCGGTATTCACTTACTTGTGAGAAAAGGCGATCGTGTGAAAACTGATACTGTTTGTATGGTTCTCTATCATAATGAGATTGATTTGAATGAATCGTATTTAATTTTATTACAACAATCGATTGAATTAACGAATGAAATTGTAGAACCGGAAGATATTTTACTAGGGGTTATTGATATTAATTAATAGTTTTAAGGATAATTTTAATTTCAAATTCTGTTTAAGATCTATATAGTTATAATATCTATACGACTTAATCAATTTTTACGTTTGATTGAAATTATACGAATTATTATTTTACATTTTGTATGTATTAATTTACTCATTAATAATTTATGTTATCAATAACATTGTTGAAACATTGAACTATTGAAGGACAGATCTTCTAAGTTATGATCACTATATTATACAAATTAAAAATATTATAATAATATACAATATATTTTATTATCGGTTTAACACTAATGACATGAACATAAACACATTGTACCGACAAGACGCTTATAATTATGTAGGTACTTATGAGATATTAAAAAACAAACAATAATTATTCATCTAAACATCATAAATTGAGAAATAAAACCAGAGGCACTGGTAAGTTATCTACTTAAAAAAGGAGTTCTCGGTTTTTTTATTATGTCACGCAACATATAACAAAAACAAGAAATGTGATTTTTGTCGAAGAAAAATAATTAAATAAGTCCAGATATCAGTTCTGGATAACCTATATTTTTCAAGTCAATTTAATGGGATAAAATATTCTTTTTTTAAATTATACTTTGTTTGATGGCAAACAACGATGTAGTAGGTCATTTTTTTTTTTGTATGTATTATTTATTTTTTTGAGTAGAAAATATTTACAATCTGTTTTATGCACAATAACAATGAATAAATTTGGTGTCAAAAGAAATACAATACTCTGTCAAGTGAATGAAGGGACGTTCCAGTGACACTACTTCAGAAGTTGGTAATTTAAAAGTCAAGAGTTAATTATTGGTAAATAGTAATTAGTAAATTACTAATTTATGGGTTTGTTGATGTTTATTTTTTTAAACTAATTGTGTACGATTTTAGATGTAAATTCACCTACAGCCTACGGGATTATTATAGTGAATTATATACTTTGAATATTTAGAAAGATATTGAAGAATTTATTGTTGTAATAAATTCGCAATCTGTGAAAAAGAAATATTGGCAAGTACTTGATCCATCTTTATTTTATTATATTAATTGTATGAACATATCTTAGTCATTGAATCATAATCGTCTCAAAATAGTTTGAACTTATATGGTATATTTATAGTTTTAAGTTTGTGATATAGCTGTGGTTGAGTTGCTACTCGAGGTCGAGGTATTGTTTACGACGTCGGAGACCAGTGAATTCTCCGGCCCGATAACCTTTTAGTTGCAGTAGGTGAATTGCGGCTCGAGTAATTATTCACCGGAATCCATGTTCCCACTAGTACCTATATGGGTACCTACAGTATACAGTTTTCACTCAAAACTAAATATTTAGGTATGTTGCTGTACACTAGCCATCATAACATTTATAACTTCGTTGATGTGTTACTTGGTGATCAATGCGAGGCTTACCGCTTACATAATATGGAGAAGAAAAGGATTCAAAACTAAGAAATTCTGTGGAAAACAATAGATGACAAACCTTAAACAAAAAGGAATAGGGCAGTTTGTTTTCATTAAGCCACTAAGTTTTAAGTATTTTTCCAAACCAATACATTTAATCTAAAATTAAAATTACTCATCGGCAAAAAAATTATAAATTATAAAATCCATATAGAACAACAAAACAAACATATTTTGGGGAGACGTCCCTACGGCGCGGTGCCTCCTGCAGGGTAACGCTAATATAGGCTGATAATATGAAGTGGTAATTGTTATTTGGCAACAATTTGTGGGCCTAAAAGCTGGGGCCCCAATTCGTACTTGATTAAAATATTGGGCAGCGATTCACCACCGCAGATATAGTTCATATGCAAACAGAGTAGCTTTATAAAAAAAAAAGTTTTGTCAAACATTTCTAGACATTTAGGTACCAGGAAATTCGATTAGGTAGGTAATATATATAACACAGAAAATATACATATATTCATTTTGATAAATAGATTTATATTTTCAACAAAGATGTATAGGTAATCAACATTTATTTAAATATTTAACAGTTGTAAATTATAATTAAAATTATTTAAAAAAAACATAATTATACCTAGGTATTGCATTGTTTGTCCGTGGAGGGACCTCATGGCTTATGATTTATATATTATTACCTATATTATATTTAAAATAATATCACATTTTTTCCTATATTTTTCTTTTTCAGTTATTAACTAAGCACTTATAGATATTTACTACAAGTATATAACATGTCATTCCAGAGATACATTAATACTAATATAAGTACATAAGTACATTTATATACTACAATAAATATTTTATAGATATTGATCCCCAATTTTTCGACTTTGACTAGTTGATTTTATTTTTACACTTCAAATGTTGTTTATAAACTATGCACTACTTTGCATTGTGTGTGCAGACTTAATTTATGTCAAATAAATACTAATGTAAACATAGTTAATAGTAAACTAATTAATAACAAGATGTAATTTTACACAATTTTCTATAATACAGATATTTACGCACCTAGTGATTGATTATCTCGATGACTCATCAATAATGAGCAGTTAATTAAATTAATATAGTAGGAAACATTAGATAACAAAATAATATATTCCCAAATTTAAAAATAATAAATTGGTTTTTATCAATATATATTGTATAATATCTAATATACAAGAGACCTAATTTAAATAGAAAAATTCTCTAAAGCAAAACATAAGTATATATTATCAAAGTACCCTTATACAGTGGATTATTTACTCTAAATTATATTTGAAAATTAAATTAGATAAAAGTTTTTAAATAAAATTTAACTATTGGTGTTAAATAACAATAATTCAAGATCTGAGCATTTGCGTTTGATTGGTCTTAATACCCTACTTAGAATAGTGGAAGTCATAAAATTTAAAAATTTAAAATATATATATAATTCCATTTTATGCACACATAGCAAGATAGCATAATATAATTAATACGATAATTACAACTTTAGACCTATACCAAAGATTAATCTAAATTGTATGTGCACACTTACAAATTTAATAAAAACAAAAAATTATACAATTTATTGGAATCTGTGACAACAAACTACACATCTTTATTAGTGAACGATACATTATTAAATTAATAAATGTTAATCATTCGTAGGAATACGTAAAACATGTTGTACAGCATAATGAATAAAAACGTCAAAAGTAAATTAGTTAAGTCTTTTAAAGAGTTAGCCTTTCAATTTAAGAAAAAAATATCTGAGCTAAGGAAGCACAGACTAAAAGATGTACAATCATATACATCGAATAATTCAAAAACTGAAACACCATTTAGATCTGAGTGAGCAGTTGTTCCCTAGGTAATTTAGGTAATCCTAAAAAATTGTCTTTAGCATAAACAGTACTCCTACAAATATGTATTTTAGGACGGTAATCTTGAGCAGTTTGTGCGACAAATATATTAGTTGTTTCTTGTAATTTTCTTGTAGCTTGGACCGCCTTAGTTGGTTTTTTTTCACAACTTAACTGAATTAAAAAAAGAAAAAAACACCATTGTTAGCCTGTCATATTTTTCTAAAAACATATAATTAAATGTTATAGATACCTATAGGTACCTACTTCTAAATTGCAGTACCTATACATATTATATTCATATGTTATACGTATATGACTATTTATTTATTTTCATTAATAATTTAATACGATTTCATAAATAATACCTTGGAATTAAAAGGATTTGAACATCCCAACATTTTTTGGACAATATTTCTTTTATTTTTGTGTTTCCTTTTGCGGAGTTCCCGAAGTAAAACCGAGTACTCGCCTCTTAGCTGATTTACGTGTCTTATTCCGTCGTCGTTATAAACACCTAGTTCTTTAGTCATTTGTAGTTGTAACTGAATATCTTTCATTTTCCCTAAAAGCTAATATATATAGGTATATAGATATACTTTAATTATTGTTAATAACAATAAGGCATAAATTATTATTTGAACATTTACCCCTTCAATATTTATTGACGATAAATCTTTAAAATTATTCGATATTAAAAAACTGCTCTTTAAATCCTTTGGTATTCTTCTATATCTTAACAGCTCGTACATCTGGTCAATTTGACGTTTTATGTTGAGCAATAAAGTTTCACCGAATCCTTCGCCAATCGCACTGTCTGCGCTAACACTAATAAATATATCATCAGTGTATGTAAATACTGAGACTGAAACACCAATAGTTTTTTGAGAGGGCAGTACAGAGTAAACTGTTTTTAGTGGAGATCCTTTGATTATAATTCTTGACCTTGGGCCAGATACCCAACTAAACTGTAGGCAAGCCTTAAAAAAATAATGTTTTGGTTTTTAATTTCTATATACCACATTCAAACATTTATAGAATCATAGCATCTTTATAGTTAAACATTATGTTTTTACCAAATTGTCAGTGAGTCCAGATAGAAGTGTTCTGGTTCCCGAAGAATGGAGTGGCATCAATAAAGAAACTATTGCTGGCAATAAAGCTTGATCCGATCTATACATATTTTGCATTGCTTTCTTTGTAAACCACAATCTTGGGATGGCACCTTCAACGCCTATAGGTAAACGAATGAGGACCGGTGATGAGTGGTCAGTGTTCCCAGTTTGCACAGGGTAAACAATCTATAAAGGAAAAAATAAATTGACCTTAACTAACAATATAGTTATGTTTAATATAAAATATTGCAATACATTCATGTTGTCCAACTGCTGCAGTCCAATAACTTTCATCATACCGTGCAACGATCCAGCAATTGCAGACAAAACGACATAACTGTTTGGAGTATTAGTCACTTGATTAATTCGGTTTACTTTGGATAGAGCACCTTGAAAACAAGACCAACTTATGTTATAGTTTAACGATAGGGGATCTGGAGTCACTATATCGCTATCATTGATTGGGGTAATCATTTTCCATAATATTTCTGCAGGCCCAGTCATCACAGTTCTCGCTACGCTTGTCAAATATCGCATTTTGGTTGGATTCTGAAAAGTCATTGTCTATATTTTAATCTCCGGCATCAAATTACTTAACTTAATGGGTACGTTATATACTTCTGAAGTATGGTAGTATGGTTTTGTATCTGACAAACAAGTGCACAATAATTTAGCCAAAGATATCCAATCTGCTAGACACCGGTGAGCAAGAAATACAACCACTGCATCTCGTTTTCCCAGCATCACTTCGTCACGTTGAGACAACAAATGCAATTCCCAAGGTGGTTTGTCTATTGATAAACCTCCAGAAACTAATTGCCCAATATACCTCTATAAATTCAGTACAACAGCTATTAATAAATTATATCACGCCGAACAATTATTTTTATCATAAAAAAGAAACATCGTTGTCGGGAAATATTTAATTTTATTTAGGTATTAATCATGTTTTTTTAATGGCATACAAAAAACTAATCATGGTAATCTATGAGTAAACTATAAACAACATAATAAGAACACTACAGAAAGTTTCCTGTAGAGCAAAAATATTCAATATAATAACGGTTAAATATTAAAATATATATTACTTGAAGCTCGTGTTTTTCCATTGTGTTTTCACACGATTTGAACACATGTTGGTTAATATCGAATGAATTACGGTCAGACATCCAATAATACGAATTCCCAAAAAGATTTGTCAACACCACCGGTTTTTCTATTAATCGTGGACACTGCGGTAATACTTTGCTGACGACAAGTTGTTGTAAAAATTGCAATTCCATTTCGTTGTCAAGAATGAAAATTGCGAAGACAGTGGAATGACGCCAAGAACCACCCAACCAACGAATTTCGTCGTTTGTCATTACGTTTCCTAAAACTGGTAAAATAAAAAATTACATACTTCCAAGTTCAATTCTACAGCTCTAATACTTTGTCATAATTATATTTAATATAAAGTTATGAGAGAAAATAAAAAAGAAATAAGCTAAATTCAAAATAAAATTCAATACCACTGTATGTTTCATAAATGTATAATGTTATCTAATTGTTATTCTCCAGTCCATTCTTTATAAATGACTACTTATTATGATTTCACGTTATTTGTTTTAAAATATACATCATCAAAACAAATAAAAATATATTCTTAAAATAGAGTACCTAATATGTTCAAACTCCAAAGTAAAAACAAAAAAATTATGAAATTAAAAATATATATTCTGGTACACGTGGTAGATATTTGATACAATTGGGTTGTTCCAAGTTTATTGTAGTAACTACAAGTATTTGAGAGTTTAAAATCTATAATATTATATAGGTACTAAGGTACGTACCTCCTAGACAAGCAATTCGATGAGCCAAAGACACGATCCATTTGAACACAAGAGTGATTGGTATGATAAGGAATAATAATACAACAATCGGAAAGCTGATAGCGAAATTTATTGTTTTCATAAAACTTGCACTAATCAGTCTCCATATCTTCGAATATCTTTTAAACGATATTCTTATAGGACTATTTTTCTGTCTACTACCCCGTCGTAATTGGTAGTACATGTGGGTAGTAAATCAACTTTCCCTGTAAATTTTTATGTAAATGGAAAAGTATTAATAATAAGTACATAATGAAAAAAAACATAAATATGCTTAAATTAATAATTAATCAATTGAATTATGTATTTGTTCATAGAATATTGTTTTGTTACAAATAATAATATTATAAAATATGTTACTATTGTTCACTAATAGGCACTTTCAACAATATTTAGTGGTAAAAGTAAGCCATTATAATATTTACTATAGATATAGTTTTTACAGAGTTGTCTAAGTTGAACCTTGATACATTTCCAGGTTGTTGTGTGTGTGTGTGTAGAGTGTGCGAATGAACTTAACTTTACACTTTTACAACTTTCCTGATCTCAGTTTTTTAAATTTTAACCATACTTGGCACAACTGTAGTATAATATCTTTTTGGATTTGTGAGCACAATTAATAACTATAATAACCAAACTCTAATACGTTTATACATAAATGTATCCAATAATGCTCTAACACAAACTACAGCTATATCACAGAATCTTATCTTTAGTACTTAAAAATGCAAATGTATTTTGTATTTTTGTTGTACCTATAGTTGTATCGCGTGAATAAATTATAAATAAAATATCAGTTGAATCTGTTTCACAATAAATTAAATAAACAACATTTTTTATTTTTTTTCCTTTCGTTACGCGAGTGTAAAAGAACATTAATGCCATTCCTCGGGAGCATCGAAATGGAGAAATACTAATTTAAGAGAAACACAAACAAATAGTTATAAGTCCTAAAGTCCCCTCTATAATATAGAAATCGAATTGTTACCATAAATAATTAAAAAGTAATATTTTATAAAGCTATAATGGCGCCTGTGGCCGAAGTTTAGGACCAATTAAAAAAAAAATAATAACATTAATGTTATTATTTGATTTGATATAGGTAAATTATAAGTGGTACAATTCGATTATAATGATATCCAAAATATGCACGAATAATAAATTTTATGACTGAATAATTTAAAAAATATTAACTGCAAATAGCTAGTAATAAACATATTATACTTAGGTATGTAATAATAGATTAAATTAACGTAACTTTTGTAATTATTTTAAGCATTATTCAATTATAATCGTTGAACTTTCTAACTTAAAGTTAGTTTAGTTAAATTGGAAATTAATCTCCGTCATCTAGAGTCTAGACCACATATAAAAGTTTAAAGCTCGTTTTGAATTACATCATGATTAACTAGGATCAGTCTTAGAGAATATTATACGAGGACGAATGTTAATACGCGTATAACATGATGTATATACTTGTAAATGTAATGCGTGAGGTGATCTCTATTATATAAAGACATTTTATAAATAAAATTGTATTTTAATAATATATAATATTATAATTGTGACCGGAGAACAAGTGCTGCCATCCCCCACCCCCGGGGCATGGCAGAAACTTACGGGTGCCCCATTCGAAATTCTGCCAAAAACAAACACACACGTGTTCCCCCCTACCGTCCCAAAAAATATACAATACAAACCTACAATACAAATTCTACTACAGCTAATGGCCTCAGTTGCCGAAGCTTAAGATCAATAAAATAAAAAAAAAAAATATTATAATTACAACACGAAAAAATCATTAACTTAATCTTTTTTGGCATATTTGTGTAATATTATTTCTGAACAATAACTTTTATGAGTTAAATGAATATTCTACGCACCTAACTACATAAAATATATATTATATGCTCGTATACCATTGAGTTTGAGTGTGAAATGTTATTAATATATATATTATTATATTCACTTAACAAAGCGATTACATACACACTAGACAGGCATACTGTACATAAGAAGCCCTTCGCAAGGTGAAAAGTTGACGTTGTCCGGTAGAAAAGTAGCTTTCAATATCTATTATAGTCTTTAGTATAATATTGGAAATTATGATATTTTACGTTGGTATAAGGTATAATGGTAGGGGCAATGGGACATAATATATATTATTTATCATAACAATGTATACATTTCTACAGCGTTAAAGATTTAAGTAGGTATACACACGCAATAGTATACGAATGAGATATAGGTAATAGGTATGATTATACTTAATTATAAAACGCTTTTATAAATATTAAATTATACTCATTTGGTACCAAAAAGTTAACTGTGAAATTCGTTGGTACCCAACTAAACATATTATATAATAGAATACGGATTAGGGTTATTTATTAATTATTTTATAGATATTTACTTATTATAGTTATTAATATTATTATTGATTATTTATTATTATCTTAAACGATAAGTTATTGCAATTGGCGAATCAAACACAATACCATTTAAAAAATAAATTATGACAGCTTAACGCTGTTTGAAAGTGTGCTGTAGTATTTAATTATCTTAGTATGTACCTAACATTGTAAAAATACCTGGTGTATTGACACAATTAAAAAAATAAATAAAAATAAAAATTATTTTAGTCAGTGTAATAGTGTATAAGTAATATATAATAATATGTTAGTATTGACAATATTAACAAATATAGTCTATAATTTATAAATCATATTCTTCAAAGCATTGAAAGTTTAGAGAAGGGGAGAATTATTATTTATAAATTATTAGTTTATTACTATCACGACGTACACCATTTCCCTGCAGACAGCAGTCACTCTATTATACTTCCCTAATCCTTAAATAATTATAAATTCAATATTCTCAATAAACAAATTAAAATGTTCACAAAAATATTTTGTTTTCATTTATAAAATTCAATATAATACTATACGGGTCACGTACTCACGTTACGTTTTAAAAAAATTAGCCATAAAATAAAATTTGAAAAAAATCTTTGTGTATTCAGTAAAACTATATTATGTAGGTATAGCAGGTATACCGTTACAAAATTAGTTTACAAAAGTGTATAATAGATTTATTTAGGTAGGTATACTCGTACAGTATACCTACTTACTAAGTAAATACTAATTAAAAATAATATATGCAAAATAAACCTGGTAATGTAGTATGAGTGTCCGTCGGTGTACAAATGTACCTGTGTGTTATTCTGTTATTGATTTTCATCCATTAATAGATAATTTTAGATACAATTTAAGACATATAAATATTTAACAATCTACTTTTTATACATAACAATTAATATTGTAGGTAATACTTAATCATATTCATAATTAGATAAATTAATAATGATACAATATAAGGCGAAATAGTTTCTATATATAGCTCTATCGCGATCGGTGAGTAGAGTTCAATAAACACATTTTTGTCTAAAACAGTACATATGTTATCAGAACCTATGACAAACTAATTTATATATAAAAAATAATGTTTTATCTAATGACTGTGCTGATTGCTAGGTGTTACGAATAAATAATAATTTAAATATTTGTCTACATATCACCATGGTGTATTTGTTGTATACAAAATACAAATTAATATAGATTTTAGACTTTGGTAGTTTGGTCGAACTATTAGGTTAAACCCATATTTGTATTTAATATTATTATGTTTCCATTCGTATTTCGTAAACCGTGATAATATTATTATGTACATAATAGTAGTTCAATAATAATACCTACTGAAATTTATTAAATATAAAAACGTTAAAAACTTTGAGACGTCCTCGATTTTATTATCCAATAAGGAACCCATAATATTATATATATAGTAAACAAATTTAAAGTTTTTCGATTAAAATAATAAAATGATAGCATATTATATTATCACGGCGTACCCGCGGTGTATATTTTATATATATACATAGGTACCGTTAAAACCTATAAAAAACATTTCTTCAAGCTGTTACCAAAATTGCTTTTATTCGATTCGGTCAATAAATCCACTCATATCATCATCATTCATCATAATATTATTATTACGAGTTTCGTTGTTCTCAAATCTGCTGTTTCGTTATCCGCACATAATTGATTATAATTTATGTTTCGGCGTATTATCCATAAATTATAAATGTTACACAAGTGTACATATTATAGTTTGAATAATTAAGGAAATCATATTATTTACGATCGACACGAGATTTGTGATAGGCGTACGAACATTTCGACCGCGCGTACCTGCATAGTAAACATTGTAATAATCTTTCAAGTATCACGATTAATGCAGAACACAACAATAACAACAATAATGGTATATTTATAACATTACGTAAATACGGTTTACGGTATAATATAATATTACAATGATCGTCGAATTGATGTTGTGCTGCGGTTGTCAACGGGTGATAGTGTGATACACACTCAGATACTGCGTGACCTACAAAATCTATGCCGCAGAAGGGGGTGCGTTTTTCGCGGAACGGCGTTCAAGGCAACAGCAGCCGGTCGTTCTTCCCGCAGTCCCGCGAGCTATTTCATAATAATATTTTTTTTAATGCTCCCGGGACAACAGCATACCCTGGGGACCGTACATTACCGAATACATCGGAATATGTTATACGCACACACTTTCGCCACACTCTTTTTAGGTACCTACCTGTATAATATTCAAATACAATATTATCACAATGATGTAAAAAAATTATTCTTCTATCGCTGCACGTATTGCGCCTATATAATATATTGTTATTTGTTCTATAAATTACGTACGTCGTCATACTACCCCCATGCATCACCACCTATTTAGTATAATAATATGATTGCCTATTAAACGTTGTCACTATTATTGTACAGTGCGAATGCGTATAAATTAAAATACTATATACATACGTATATCATTCAACACGCATTCAGATAGTTCTTCCATATTTGAAAACGCTTAAAATCATTATTATTGTTATTTGTTATGTCATTATTACTACGCCCGCCCCGAACACACACACACACACACACACTTGTATATTATATAACAATATATATTTTGTTTGGTGTTTATTTAATATTATTATACTGTTGTTGCATTCGCGGAACATCGTAATAACATTTTGTAAAACTGTTACCCCCGGCAGCAGCGACGGCGAACGGTTAATTAAATGTTTTATGCGGGGTAAGA